CTATTCATCTGTCCATCTAGCTATCTATATAATCTTCTTTTTATTTTATTTTATTCTTACAGTTTGCTGTAAAACAATTGGAGAAAATACTTTTTATTGCTTTATTCGTCCTGTAAACTTTCTGACCTGAGATGTCCCCGGGTGACAAACTTAAAGCAATAAAAATAGTGCATTTAGAAATTCTGTGTATGATTTACAAACAAATAGACCTAATTACATTTATTTTCACTTTGTGCAGAGATGTGACTTGTCTAAACTAGCTGGGTTCAACAGGTTGAATGAAAGAGGAGCAGCAGCATGGAGCACTGCCCAGGTTTCGGTGTCAGGCCGCTGAGTGTGTCCACTCTTTGTCCAGCTGATGTGAGCTGTCCATCCAAATAAAATCAACTACATAATGCCTTTGTGTATATCATGATGCATATTCAACCACTAGAATAATCATGATTCATCAAAAAAGAAAGGGAAAAGGGAATTCATGTTTGCACACACACACCAGGATTGATTGTCAGTGAGTGATTGTGTACCTCTCGGTTGCTCAAGCGCATGGCCTGTGAAATGTGATTTGTTTAAAATCTGGTCACTTTGGAAACCTTATCATTGGGTTTGATCATTAACTTCAGCTGTCGGTGCTGAGAAATCACTCATTTTAACAAAGTGGGCCTGGAAGTGATGGATCGTTCCCAACACGAAAACCTGCTCTGATATCTTAGCTGAATAAATGAAGGCTCACCGAGGCCCACTGATGATCGGATATCAAGTTTGTACAGTGAAAGGTAGAGGGGCAAAACCAAAAAAATTTTTAAATGGGATTTGAGTGTGTGTGTGGTTGTTAAAATTTGAGGTATTGTGGTGAAGAACACCGTGAACCAATAAAAAAGTGTGACCAGACTCCATTCAACTTAAGTTATTGAGATACAAATTCCTTTAAAGACACACACAGAACAAGTTTTATTTTGAATACAAAAAAGGAAAGTTCCCATTGAGAACTAAAACCGCTGACGGCACTTCACACTTTTATCATAACAATTCTGCCCCCTGCTGGTGGAAAAATGTATGCGTCGTTATAAATTATAAGCAGTAACACAAATATAGAATCTAACTTAAACACACGTGTAATTATATTGAAGAAAGACGATAAGAATCAAACTGTCACCATATCAGTATCATACAAAATATTACACAAAAAATGTCCTGACATATATTTTACAGATTTTCAAACTGTAAACATTTCTGGTTTTATCAAAAAAGTACAATGCTATGAAGATATGTAGATGAAGAGAAGGGTTTTTTAATGAAGAAATGGTGAATGAAACAGAGAAGACAACATAAACATTTGTTTTTACTCTGCACCTCAACAGACACAGAAACTATTTCTGCTGCGTTGTTTAAAATCCAGTCTGGATTGTTGTAGGTCTGGTGTTTCCTCATAGAGCTTCGCCCACATTGATTTATGGATTTATTTCAGCCCCTTGAATACACAAACTCCACCTTTTCAGAGAAGGGATTGGATGATCCTGGAATCTAGGCTTGGAGGAAAATTGTGATGTGATGTCAAGGTATACAGTATCACTTGAATGAATGTCACACATATCAATAATTCAAACAAGTCCTACAGCGAGGGCTTACTTCATTCATTTAAAAACGCGTGAATGAACAGAAAGTTCAGGTCTTTTATAAACACGCTAATTACGCTCACATATCTTGTCCATCAAGATAAATAGAGCGTAAAGTGTTGATCAGTCTCTTTGTGTGATGCTGATGTTATCTATGATTGACAGATGTGTCATTTACCATCCTGTCTTTTATTTATGCCGACATGTGATCACATAATCAATAAAGAGCTGAGTCATTTATCACTACTGGTGAAGTTAAATGGTGAAATCTTCAGTAATGACCAATGTAAGTGGAAGTAGCCCGGGCAGTAAACTGGTAGCAGAGCACTTCATCACATGAGGTGTAGCCCTGACTCTCTGTCAACTTCATATCTGTAGACATGAGCCAGAGAGACGATGGGGAGATCTTTGATTTATTTGTTTAGTTTGTTTTAGTTTGTTGTAATTTGTTGTGTTTTCTCAAAAGAGTTTATTAAAATTACTGAATATTGTAATATTATTATTAATAAAAACTCCCTGTTATTTATTTATTTTTATTTATTCTTCTATAAAGAAGGTAAAGTAAGGTTTCTGAGCCTTTCATAACTGACCCTTTTTTTTACCATGAAAGTATTTTCTTATTTTATGCTATTTACACATATGTCTGATGAGTGAGTGTCACTTCAACATTGATCTTTTTACGAAATTTGCTTTTATGTCCTTTTGGAAAATAGTAAACATGAGTTCCTGCAATAACCCATTAAGGTAACACAGAGCTGGGGGCATCTCTTTCAGGTTCCCCTCGTGTGCTATAGAGCTGGTGAACAGGAAGCTGGGGAAATGGGACATTTGAAAACACACCCAATGACCCCAATATTATCTTGTTATAGACTTTTAAATATATCTATAGGAACCAAATTACTTTACAGTGGTCTTTTTTGTGGTCTAGATGTAAAAAAAATGTCTTAGTCTCTGGCTGACGATGTGTAATATAAGACATTGTGAATCCATAAAGCATCAACACCAGACTGCTTCAGCTCCACAAGGTCTTTCAATCTCTAATTGGATTTAAGACCGTAAAGATGGACGACATGATTGCTCTCTAAAAGTGAACCTAAAGGGTCTTGATCGCCACCTGGTGGCTGGCTGCAGCATGGGCCATAAATACTGCCTCTTCCATGTTAGTGGATGGGTCAGGGACCAAACTAAATACTGGTATACCACATCAGATTTTCCCAAAGGTGGTGTCTGTCATTTTATTCTACAGGTGAATGAACTGATAGTGTTTGCTATCTTTCTGAATTTGCAAAAATACAAACATGTTTATATGTTTCTTGTAAAAGAAAAATTCAGCTTTAAAATAATGGATCTTATTGAAAGTGGTCATGATGCGTCACTAGTGGAATAAAACAATGTCTTTTAAGCTAAAATAAAGTGCATGTGATGGCGTCATAGTTTTTAAATGATGACTTCAGCATCTATTATTTAGTTTGAGCTGCATTTTGTCCCCAAATAGAAAGTGACTCCCTGTGACTCTAAACATAGTACTGAGCTTTTTATTCTCTCAATGTGCATGATCACAAGTATACCCTACACACTCATGCACATGCAGTCACCGAGCGACATGAGATAAGAAATACAGAATACCAAAATGAACTGCATTAACGTAACCAGCTGTTTCATTGTCCCCCGCAGCCTCTATCTGTTTCTCTTTCTTGCTTGTCCTCTGAAACAATCTGCATAGTGTGGCCGAAAGAACGGAGGCGTTGTTTGAGTTGAATGGAGGAAAAGCTGAGGGGTGGAGGGGTGCAGAGGGAGATGCTCCAGCTGTGGGGGGGACAAGACAACACAACAGCATCTCACATGTGGGTGAGGGGTGTGTGGGAGGGGGGTGGGTGTCCAGTGCAGCGGGGGCTGCACACAGTGGCATTGTTATAAGGGGGGGTGGGATGCAGCTGATAAGGTTGAGAGAAATGGATCATTCCCTCAAATCCTCCCTTCTGGGAAGCCTTGACACAAAACACTCCTGTCGCTGTATGACTGTCTGAGATGAAGGAATTCAACAAGGCCTCGCATAAGTTATTCTAAATTTTACTGTATTTTATTTTGTTCCCCAAATTTCATTGTGGAACAGGGAGAGAGGAAATGTTCCACTTCAGGATTATGCATCATACTGTTAAAAATGGAACATCCCAACTATTGAACTTCAATCTCCTAAATCAACAGTTTTATTTAAGGTGAAGTGTTTTCATACAGTTACACGCAAGTCAAGTCAATCTCATTGAATTTCCTCAGAGGGGTTTTCAGTCCTTTCAATGTATCTCTTCACACTCTGTCAGGATCAGAGGAAAACTCAGTATAAAACTGGCTGAGAGGAAAAGACCAGAAACCAGAGGAAGCACAACATACGCACATCTGTGTTCCCTGATGCAAAGACCAAGGATTTCAGCCTAAAGTTCATGTTTCAAAAATGCAGTGGTGTTTTAGAGCATGATAATACATTTCACTTACTTACTTAGATATAAACATAGTCTTAAATAATGACTGCAATAAGCGCACTGATTACGGTGCAGTCATTTTCTCGATTCATCATTTTAAAGTAGAAAACTCCATCATTGCTTTCCAGAGTGACCCTGATTTATCTGATCTCTGCAAGATGATGAAAGAGTCAGAGTTTAGAAAAACTCAAATCTCCAAACTTGTAAAAGAAACACAACATGTTACATTTACTTTAAGCTAAATGATTAACTCTGTAAAAGCTGATGATGGCTGTGTAAAGTGTCAACACTAAGTGACTCAAATTAAAAAATTAAAAGAATCTCTCTGAGTGCACAGTCAAAATAAGGCACCGTTATTTTTAAAACATAGTAACCTACTTTTTAAATTATTCAAATCATTTTAACTCAGGCCATTGATTGAACTTAATGAGCATTACACTTGTTTTGAAACCTTCAGCTTGTTATTTTAAGACTTTTTTTCCCACTGTATGTTTTACAAATGTGGCTGGAAATACATAAACTTAAAATTTTAAGCACATTTAATCAACTATTATGAAACAAGAAATGGAAGATTTGGATGTTTGTCTGATAAATGATAAATTGATAAATTGATTGTCAAAATATTGACTCAATCAATCAATCAATGCCACTCTTTTAGAAGAAAAAGGCTTCATGATATTGGAAAGCGATGGTTACAGTGTTGAATAGAGTACAATTTAAATAATGCATAGTATAAAGTATATATATTATATGTACAATAGAATTTGCAATGTATAGTACAACATAACAAATGAAAACTGGTTGAATATACCGCCACTGTGCGTCTTCATCCAGCAGAGTGGTTAACAGTGAGTTTCAGTGCAGCAGCCTGGCGCACATCCCTCACCTGCCTCAGCTCCTCTCCTCCGACTCCTCATCCTGTCTGAGTGAGAGAGGGAGAAGCAGCGGAGGAAGAGAAACTACTCCACAGCAACTTTAAACAACTTTCACGCACACTTTTTTTTTAACCTAATACTTTCCTCGTCGATTTTACGCGTTGTCCCTCCGGCAGATGGGACTTTTTCTGCGGGGAAACCTTAGTTTATTATGCAGCTTGCAGGAGCTGAAGTGAAGGTGCGCCTGAAGGAAAATGCTCTGACATTGTTCTCGTGACGATTTTTGTTGTCGCTTTGATTAAAACACTTCTTACAGAGACTTTGAGAGTTTAAGTGTGCGCAGCGTCACTGGAAGCGTTTGGCCATAAGGGACGTCAATCCAGCGCCAAGTTGCTGAGCAGGAGAAGAGAAGAAGAAGCTCTCCTCACAGCGGTGGATTCATGTTGAACCACAACCAGAAAAGACACGACCATTAGAATCCGGATTCAGTGATGTACGTGTGAAGAGTTTCCCTGATCCGAATTGGTTTGGTTCGGACGACGGGAGACTTTAATGGATTTTTTATGTGGGACCCGCTAGGATGGACGTGGTAGATGAAACAGAAGCGTTACAGAGATTTTTTGAAGGTAAGATTTCACTCAGTATTGATATTATTAAAGCTACATATGTGTGTATCATTACAGGGCTGTGTCTTCTCACTCAGATAATCCGTTTTGTTGCTTTCATAACCAACGTGGCTTGTGAATAATTGTTCTAGTGACAAAAATGAGATGGTAGTGTCCAGTTGAGTTAAACCTCAGTGTGGTTTGGTTTAAGCTTAATCTGTTGCATGCACACATGACAGGTGGTTAACTTCGCTGTGGTCAGATTCTATTTGCATGTATCATGAGGCTTTATATAGAAAGTTACTAAAATATTTGTATGCATCATGTTTTAAAGTTTTCTCTGAGGGCAGGTCATCATAATAAAAACTTAAAATGCCAGAAAAGTCAGGAGGGTTTACTGGTGCCCGGAGCAAAAGTGCTGGTGATGGGTAACAGATCACATTAAACAGGGAATCCTGAGAGAGGGAGAAAAAAACGAGGTGGAGGAGGGTGGGGTTGAGGGTTGCAAAGGGTGTAGGAATTTAAGTCAAGATAAATGGTGTGTTTTGCAAGGGTACTGTGGCACAGTGTGTGCGTGAAAGACAGACGTGAGCACTGGGATTTGAACCAGTGATGTGGTCTCGACTATCAACAGGGAATCAAACCGAAATGAAAGTAACCAGTCAGTTCAGAAAAGTAGAAAATGATGTTTGTGCTTCAAGAAACAGCCAAATCAAGATGCAGCATTTCATATTGTGTCTTTAAAACAATGAGGTTTTAGTTGGTAAAGTATTTTTTCCACCTTTATGACGAGAGTTTGGGAGTTTTTTTCTGAATCATATTGGTAATTTACTAACCAATTTAGTTCCCCTGTTCTATTTGTCAACTTAAATGTCTGGACTCAATTTGGTTGAGTTAATTTCTTTGACAATGGGAATAAATCTACCTTTGTGAACTTTATTCCATCCATCATATCCTAAATTCAATGTAGCCTGTCAAAGACACCACATTTACATGTATGTCACCATAAGGACTTCTCCCTGTGCTGTGATTTACAGCTCATCCCCTCATTCACATCTTTCTCAATTAGAGGTTGTATTTCTTTTCTTTTTTTTAAAGAAACTCCAGTGTCAAGTGTTTCAGGAGAAGTCAAGCGTGCATAAAAACACACAGTGTGGTTTATGTATACCAGTTATTTGCACAGAGACTTTACACTCTATTATAGTATACACAGAGTGTTGACTTAAATATACACAACCATTCATGACTGTCAGAGGTTCCCTGCCACTCTGACAGGAATTTAGTGTGTTTACATTCTTGCTTTTGGGAGTTGGAGAGATGTTCTTACTTTGACTTTGTTTCAGCCGCTCTCGCTCGCACTGAAATGTCAACTTGAACATTAAAGTTACACAGTAGGTGCTGCCTCTGATGAGTATTTTCCGAGTCAACTTTTTGTTCTCCTAATTGATCCTAATGGTATAAAACTCCTCACAGTCATGTTATTTTTCTCAGATGGAGAATTCAGGTCTTTAGGAAGGCAACATTTAATTTGCATTGACTTCAAAAAACAATAAGTCTTAAATTTTAGATACCTGAAATAGACACATTAAACACACATGCACTATAAAGGATTTTGGCAGCGGTAAACAGTGTTTTAATAGGATTAGTGAAATATGTATACATTCACACTAATGCATGGTATACATTCCTGACATAGCCCCGGTGGCTGTTAAAACACAATGAGGTGAGAGCGGTGTGTCTCCTCGGGTATTTGGCGTTCTCCGGGCTCTCCCTCTTTCTGACTCCATTAGAGTGACAGTGAGCAGACGGGGTGAGGAGGTGAGATAGTGCAGACTCTGGGTGGGTGGAGGGAGACGGGCCTGTTGAGAGAAACCCAACTCAACTACCAACCCCCTCAAAACTTGACCTTCCGTGCTCTGACTCACTTTGGAGTTTTTACTTTTACCCAACAGTTTTCTCACTCTAGAGGACAGAGTTCACACGTTCAATTCATTATTTGACGCATAAAATATCAGAAAAGAGTGAAAAATGGCCATCACAATGTCCAAATGACATAGTAATAGGTTTTTGTTTTTGTTTTGTGTGACCAAGAGTCCGAAATGCAAAGATAACCACTTTACAGTCACACAAGACAGAAAACCAGCAAATCAAACTGATGTACTGCAAAAATTAGCAATTACTGAAATAGTTAAATATCTAATTGATTCATTGATTCATTATTTTAGCTGCACTCAGAAAGTAACAAACTGTCATGTATTCCAAGCATCTTAACGACATCATCGACTATGAGTCACCTTGGTTCGAAACAAAGAAGTGCAGCAGTGGCTGATGGGAATGTGAGGAGGGAAAAACCACATGATAATGCCCAGACCAACAGAGTCATGAGAATACATTGTGTAGAAACCATGAATATTTCGACAGATGTTTCAACCCTTTTGAGTAGATGTTGAGAAATGTCACTGGATAGGAGAAAACATTGACCTCATGGTGGCGCTAGAGGAAAGGTCACAGGATCATTGAGCTCGATTAGATTAACGCGAACCATGAATGAACGAAGTTTTCGACCCACTAAAGAATTGTTGAGAAAATTTATAAAACGAGTGGATCAACCAACAGATCCATTAACTTGTGTTGATTATCAAGATGATCAAACTGTTTCTGCCAGAAATAAAACTTTGAGCACATTCACCCCCCAGACCTTCAGTCTGTTGGCGAAATAATTACGTTCCTACATCACGTTTGCCTCTGAAAGGCGAACAACTCATTACCCATGATACTATATCAAGATTCCAGTGAAGTCCCACTGTACTCCCACAGCGGTTGTAAATCTGGGCTGTGTGCTCTGATCTGCGGGGTTAACAAATCGAAACGGTTTGTGTGTTGCAGCAAGAGAAATATATTGTTTTTGAGCAGCCAGGCTTACAGTGCTTACGAGTGCGTTTTAAGTTTTTCATGGCCGTGCCTCACTCCCATCAGTGTCGACTGCCAGCTGAGTAATCTGCAGCCAGTACATGTTGTTTATGAGAGAACTGGACCCTGTGGGACTGATCGCTGTTTGTGTTCACGTTTGTGTGCTATGATTTTAAGAGAGGTTGGCATGGAAAAGTAAAACAAGTTGATGCAGAGTGTTGCAGGATGTTTTTCTGTCTCAGTCATTGCTACAAATATCTTAACATATGTCAAGCACAGCCATAATTATTGAAATTCAATAGGAGATCAACATATGGTTTAGGTTTACTCTTGTAAATTGAATTCTGCCCTTCTACATCTTCTTATTTTTATTTTTACCACTGCCAATGAGGTTATCCCCTGTCCATTTATTTGTTTGTTTGTTTGAGAGCAAGATTACAAAAAACTACCGGAGAGATTACCACAAAATTTGGTGGAAGGATGTGGTATGGGTCAGGAAAGACCCCATTTAATTTAGGTATGGATACGGATCAGGAGCGGTTTTATGATTTTCTTTTTTCACTTTCAACATTGTGAGATAGGGCAGGAGATTTTCGCTGGTTTCCCAGGGAATGATTAACTTGATCCTGATGAAAAAATAAATCTGGCTTATTTAAGGGATGGATTTCTATAAATAAATTGAATTTAAGCAGACCTTGGCAGAAGTATGCCATTCTAGCTCCTCCTTTGCTTATTCATCCTCTTTCCCTTCCTCCTCTATTTCTTCCTCATTGTCTTCTTCTTGCCTTTCTCCTGTCATGCTTTATCATTCTTTCCAGCGCAGGCTCTCACACTCGACCTCACAATTGCAGTTTTTAATTTCGTTTTTTCTTGTCCTCGTCCCAGCCTCGTCACCCTGTAATCTCCTGAGCCAGGTCCACCGGTGCAACCAGTGTGCGACAAGGGCTGTGTGTGGTAGCCTGGTACAGCTCTTTCTCATGACTGGGGAATAATCCTCATTATAACGCTCTCTCAGCCTTTGTCAGTCACACACACACACACGCATGCATACACAATATGCATTTGCACATAGGCATGCACGCGCAGACACACACACACTCTTGTTACACTGATCTGAGGCTCTCAGGTCTGCAGAAGAAAGTCTTTCAGCCCGAGCAGAGAAACATGTGAAAAATTTAGAGGAATTTTGTTCTTCTCATCTTCTGTTTCAGGTGCTTTCATCTCAAGGACGTCAACATGCTTTGGCTACGCGCAGGTACTCTGCCGCTCTGTCTGCTCCGCTTCTCTATAGATGTGATTCATTAGTTCATAGTGTCGTCGCAATGCTCTTCACTCTTCTACCAGTAAACAAATGGAGAAGGTCTATAACTCTCAGCCTGTGTCTGACCTCTATGACACTTTCCTCTGTAGATTTCTTTTTTACGATTTACCATTTGTGTCTGTTTGTGGTACATCTGTGTTTAAATGTAAACCGTGGATTCACAATATTCTTGTGCTTCTAAACTGCCGAGCAATTACTAGACCAGCTCTGACATTGTGTTTCTTTGTATTAGTTAAACTGACATTAGTAATGTCCGACAAGTTATTTTTGTGGGTTGTTGAATCAGAGTCTGTACCAAAATACTACAGAGATAATCAGATAAATAGAGAATGTGATTAACATTAAAGTTCATCTAGTTTCAGGACATAGACTGATCCATTAAATCATTCCACAAAGACTAGTTTTATGTTGTGTTTAAAGCTGATTTCATTTTGAAATTTGATTATCGTCTCAGTACGTGTTGTGGGTGTGCGGCCAAGTTCACTCTGGTCTAATTGTTTGATAATCACATGGACTTTGTTCCTCCTTAGTAAGATACTCTGTCGGTGTTTAATCATTAACACACACGTGAAAACCTACAAATCTCATTTAGAAGCAAAAATCTGTGAAAAGTTTTAATTCAGGAGTTTTGTTCAGGTTATTTCATGTTTAACGTAGTTTTCTTTCCTCTCAGTGGCCTTGATAACGATATTTTTTTCCATTTAATATGTGTTTAAACTTTAACATATAGGCAATTACAGTATATGTGCTATTATTTGAATTAACATGGAAAGAAAAGGAAAAGCTGTACAGTCAAACCATGTTTAATGGCCACTCACACACTTAGCCCTCTGTTTGTGTTCATTTTAGATTATTACTGTGCTGACAACTCAGGCATTGAAATGGTGGCTCAACACACACACACACACACACACATACGCATTCATACACACACAAACAAGTACACGCACTCACATGCACGCGAATGCTTACACACATACACACTCCGCTCTCAGCCCCTAATCTCTGAAAAGGCCGGTCTGTATCGAAGTTGGACTGACAATCATTTCACTGTTTCTTGTTGAGCACAGCTGGATGGAGAGAAACATAGAGGGCAGCGAAATTTATACATCCAGTTCACAGCACGTTAAACTTGACTGAGTGGTTTGTCGTTGAATAATTTATCTTTCTATTCTTCTCCAGCCACACAGAAATAACAGTTAATGACAGCCTCAACCATAACTCACCTTAACTCAGATGAGAGTTGACAGCACTGGTGTGAGACGATTATTATTACAGAGGTGGAGAAGATGAAAATAAAACATCTTATTACAAATGTTCATCAACTGTACACGCTTGAGACAGAAAGTGTGTGGTGTGTGGTGACCATTCTCTTTGAGTGACCGAGTTTTGAGACAATTTCAATTTTTCTTTTTTGACGCAGACTTTGATTTAGATGGATCAATTCCAGTTAAATAACCAGCAAAGTGTAGTCTGACATTTACTCAACTCTCCAAAAAGTGAAGAAGTCACTTAACAATGTCTTTCTTCATTAGAAGTTGTGTTAGAATTTGCTAAGACCAATTAAACTTAAGTTAACGCCCAAATGACCCAGTACACCGAGCTGCAGACAGGTGGACAAGATGGATGGAGACTGTAAAAGCCTTAAATGTGTCAGATCAGCATCTGAAAAAGTGGAAAAAATAGTGGAAAAAAGGTTACAACTCAGTCTTGGTAGAGGACTTGATTTTCAACCTGTGTCTTATAACATAACATCTGCTTCGTGACTTGAACTCGACTTTTCTTGGATACAAAGTTTGTCTTCACTTCAGCCCTCTTTTTGTTTTAGCTTCTTCTCTCTATCATTTTCCTCAAACTCGTGTTCTCTCTCTTTCTTGCGCTCTCCTCAGCCTCCATCTATGTACCCTCCCCTCCCCTTCCATCTCTCCATTTTTTGTTATCAGGCCTGCCAGCTTAAATTTACTGCCTATTTGGGTGGGGTGCACATCTGGATCTTATTTTAGGGAACCATCCTGCTTTTCTCCCCTCACATTGGCACGTATTAAGAGACATTAACCATCTGCTTCTCTCTGGCAACGAAAGTCAATCAGTGTAAACATGATGGTTTTTCTAAAAGAACGAGGTAATGTGAGGGTTTAAAATGTTAAATGTTACACAGGGAGTTGATGTAAATGTGACTGGTTAGAGAGAAGTGGTTTGGTTTGTGGATATATTGATTGATGGTTGAAAGACGTTGTCGTGTGTGTTGCTGTAAACTGAACTCTGGGCTTGGCTTAGACAAAGGACATGATTCACAGGATGATAAAGTTCATTAAATCATTTGCTGTAAATGGTAGCAATGTGTGGAGAGGAACTGTGACAACAACACTTACAAACTATTACGGTTATTTGGGGTTTCTGGTGAAAAGCGAGGCATCATTACGAACACAAAAGGAGGGAAAAGAGACTTTTTTTTCTAATGCTAACACAAAAATTCTTTGCATTCCCCGCTGAGTAGCTGCTTAATCTATCAGAGAAAGTGTGTGTGTGCATGTGTGTGTGTGTGTGAGTGAGAGAGAGAGAAGGTGAAAGACTGGGGTTCGCCTGCCCACAGACTTTACACCCGCTCCTTCACACCCTCCACTCTGCTCCCCCTCTCCTCTCTTCTTCTCTCACACACTCACTCCATCCCCCGTGTCCACAGTTTGGACCTGTGACAGCTTTGAAAAAGTTTCATCACTTTCTGTCGTAACATTGGAGCTGAACGTTCTGTGTGCCGCTAGTTTACATAAAGTGATTTACTCTTTTCCAAATATATGCAGAGGCAAGTGCTTGTACTACATGTTGGTGTTTTAAAGATTAAGTGGGGTCATGTGTTTGGGATTTGTGAGGCTTTGGCTATCAAAGGGTGAAAGTGACCTTGGGGTCATTTTCATATATATTCATAAATATATCAACACAATTTAGTAATTGTGGTGTGGTTCTTTCACATTCATTCTCTGGGGGGGACCAGCAATGGGGAAATGGTAACTGAGGTACAACATGGAAACCATCAACTTGAGTGATTCCAGTCTGTGTAACCAGTCAGAGGCACTGAATCATCAGTATGTGTAGTGTGTGGTGTGCTATGTGGACTACTAACATAATAAGACCGTTCATCACTCCTGAAACCTTAATCTTTAAATTATTTTCCCTCTGTGCACAGCAAATGATACTTTCTGATTTAAATCCATTAATTTAATGTAATCAAATTCTTTATGCAGATGGAGCTATGAAATTCAATATATGTTATTAGATTTGTATGATAGAATATATAATACTCAAGCGTGTGTTGAAACTGCAGAGCTGTTGTGGCAGTGTATGGAGTTGCTGAAAGATTCCCATTGCTAATTCCCAGATGCTCTCCATCTCCCTCCTCTGTGTTCCCAACCCTCCCTTCACCACAGGTCATGATATTACCAGTTCTCTGGACACAGCCAACATCGACACCAGTATCCTGGAAGAGTACATCAGCAAGGAAGACGATAGCACTGACATGTCAGTGGGGACTCCACACCAACCCAGCAACGTCAAAACAACATGCACCAACTGAATCAGATCATGTCGGTACATAGGAATTTGTTTTTTCTGATAAGGCTAATCCCTTTTTCTTTTTCTTTTTCTTCTTCTTCGTCTTCTTCTTTCCCCCACAGCTGTTTCTCAGAGGTCCACAGCGCCCCGGGACCAAATTACTCATCTCCCCAGGCAGGAGTGTCCTCCTCTGGGGGGTTGGTTTGTGGTGTGAGCCCCCCTATCCCACTACGGCAAGGAGCCCTTCCGCCTGGGCCCCCCAACTGTCAGAACACCTACCCCCCAGGTCCATCCCTGGGCCTCCGACACAACTACCCCTGCCTGGGACAGCAGCAGCAGCAGCAGCAGCAGCAGCAGCAGCAGGCACACATCAAGCCCGAGCACAGGGGCCACTACGCCCCAGGGTGAGCACAATACCAGGGGGTAGATGAATGGGTGTACAAGACAGAGAAAATATAGCATTAGTTGCTACTTAGGAATGTTGAAGAAATGCTATTGATGATTCACATTTACACATGAAATCAGAAAAAAGTTGCAGCAGATGACAGGTATTTCCTTTTTTTAAAAGTCCACAGCGAAACCAGACACACACCCTACTACAGGTCCATTATGCAATCAATACTTGATTAAGCTTCATTTGTACAAATAAAGCATTAGATTGGTCAAGAGGGGGAGGGAGACTGATAACAGACACAGAGAGTCAAATTACATCCTGCAAAAAAATATCCTGACGCACACAAGCTTGTGTAAAGAACTCAAACTAGAAACGAACTCCCAAAGGAAAGTTTCTCCCTGAAAATGATGGCAGTTTAAATGTGATTGTATGTACGTGAGGATATATGAGGGAGAGATGAAGCATGGTACTCTTTGAGCAATTTCTTTACTTCAGAAAGTCTGACATTATTGTGTTTGTGGATATAACATCTACTGCTTACTGTTTTTCCTTCAGGACACTACCTGAGTCCCCCCCAGACTCCAGTTCAGAGCCCTACTCTCCACAGCAGGTGAATGGTAAGTAACACACACTTTTTATTCAAGATGGTCACTGCAACGTCTCTGCTGAAGCCAATATCTGTTACTCATCACTTAATTGTTTTAGAACAGAGCATAATGGTGCGGGGGGGGGGGGGGGGTCTTTCGTTTGTGAGTAAAAACAAAATCAATATATAAAGGGAGTGTATCTGTTATTTATTAATCTACAGTTTACACACATTGTCTAGAAAATCATTTTCATTTAAACTTGGTTTATTTAAGTCAGTCTCATTTCAAGTGTCTCCACAAAGAATGGACCGGTGTTTCAGTGGCTTGTTTCAACACACAGCTCATACAACAACAGCATTCAAAGTCATTATGTACTTCTTGCCGCTGTGTTGGTCTTGCCCATTAGTAAAAAGGTGTGGATTAGTGTTATCTGATGGGCAGCCCTCCAGTTTGAAACAGTGCAAAGTGCCTTTAAGCAAGGTTGGAGGAAACTGTGTAAATTGAAAGGATCAATCTGTACTCTGTGTGAGATCATGAAAACCTTGAGCTCCATCCTCAATGTATCTTTCAGATCCTCACATGATCAGGACCATGACACCAGAGAACATGTGTCACATGACCCCAACGCCACCAATACACTATACGAGCATGCATCGGGACATGTACCTCAAGCCCGAGCCCATGATATCGCAGTATCCCATTGGCCCAGCCACAAGCGGAGGTGGAGACATGCAGCAGACGCAGATGCTCCATCAGCTGCTACAGCATCCTCAGGGGCAAGAGTGAGTCATGGTGATATACAGGTGGGAGGGGAGAAAGAAGGGAGGGAAAGAGGGAGAAGTGCTTTCCAGTTCATATGGAACAGAGAGAATTATGGGAAGGAGCGGTAATATGAACTTTTTGACCGTGTTTCCATTTTCTCACACACAGTGGCATCCCTGTTCACCAGGCCAAGAAGAGGAAGCACTCCGACTCGCCCAACAGCACCCTCAATTCCCAAATCCTCACAGGTATCATCAAACAAGAACCAGGTAGGCAGGCATCTTTCTTCTCTCCTCCATCTCCTCTATACCTCACGCTCACCTGCTCTTAGATAATGAAGAGTTTTGCAGAACAGTTGTAGACACCCTTAGTGATCCTTGGTCTTGTTTTAATTGCCGCCATTTCAAACTCTTTGTCACAGGTTTAATGCAGGATGCAGACAACGCCTACCTGGACCCAAACTATCAGTGCATTAAGTGGCAACCTCACCAGCAGAACAAGTGGACACCACTCTATGATGCAAACTGCAAAGAGCTGTGGGTTTAAATTTACGTTGGCACATCTTCACATCCTTAGGTCTTTATTTTGGAACAAAAAGAGCTGAAAGCACACAGAGTCAAAAAGAAATGAAAGCAGCTATAATTGGTTAAATGGATAATTCAGCAAAGTTTACCGTGGGAGTGGTAAAGGAAAAAGCGGGGTTGGAGAGGTCCACGAATTCCTCAGAGGTGAGCTGTGCGGGGGAGTGAACAAGCACAGGGTTTCGGCTTAGAAAGACAACGTGAGGAGGGGGTAAAGGGATAAATTAGTGTACATCTACTCTGGCTTTTGCAGTGCCAAACTAGAGAGAAGTATAGGTAGGGAGGGAGGTTAGAATGAACTCACAAGACCTTCCAGATATGTTATCAAAACCACCTGGCTGCCCATCACAAAGATTCAGGACACCACTCCTACATAAAAAAGAACAGGAGTTTTTTATTTGTTTAAAACTAGATTTTAAGTCTTTCAGAGGATCTTAGTCGCCTGTGTGATAAAGTTATGTCATGAAAATAGAGGCCCAGGGGCCCTCAGGGTGTTGCATGGTTTCCAAGGCTCCCAAACAAAGATGCAAAATTAATTTTAATTCCACTGATTATTAGCTTTGCTAAAGAACAATAGAAACATTTTCATACAACTTCTCACACAACAGCATAAAATGTGTATTTTTTTATAATGTAGCGCACATTGTATCTGCTCTCTTTATATCTTTTGGGGATTTTGACCTAAACAACATGCAGAAGCTTGTGTAAAGAGCATCGCCCTTTACATCTGGCATAAATCAAATGCGAGTTGACATCAAATTATTCACAAATCATAATCTCTCTCTCCCTGTCTTTAGTCCGATGCCAACCTATCGCGTTGATGCAGACAAGGGTTTCAACTTCTCCTTGTCTGATGACGCCTTTGTTTGCCAGAAGAAGAACCACTTCCAGGTCACAGTGTACGTAGGCATGCTGGGCGACCCCAAGTACATCAAGACGAGTGACGGCCTGCAGCCCATCGACTGCTTCTATCTTAAACTCAACGGGGTAAAGGTGAGTGAAGACAAAACAAGAGGAATAACGTGACAGATGATCGTAAGGTCTATAGTGTGACCAGTATTTTTTATTTCTGTCCTCATTGCTAGGTGGAGGCCATAAATCAGTCCATCAGTGTGGAGCAGTCACAATCTGACCGCAGCAAGAGACCGTTCAAGCCAGTGCTGTGAGTCTGAACACCGAAGACCAATTATTTCAATCAAGCCAAACAACATTTCACACAATCATAGATATCAAACCCCTGAATATGACTGATTCTTTTCATCTTGATCCATGGAAATTGGTGAATTGGTCAAAAATGCTTCTCAATCTCAAAGAAAGTAATAAAAAAATTCTGGATCTGCTCCTTTGTCCAGATCCACGGCAAAATGTTCTGTTCCATCTTTCCACCAAGTTTCAAGGAAATGCTAATCCTAACAAACGAACAAACCATTTGACCAGGGTTAAATGATGGTGCTCGTATGTACAGTGAAACTACTCTTTATTGCTGTCATCTTTAAAAGAAGCATTTACTTCTGTGAAAATTACAGAGGGCAAAATCCTGCAGTCCTTGTTTTGTTCGGTAGTATGTTTACCAGAAGCTAATATGAGACTGTAAATAAAGTGGATGTCACTGTTCTGTCTTTTTGTTCCCTGTTGAGATGCATTGGAGGTAGATTTTGCACCACGAAGACTTTAAGATATCCACTTTAGAAAGATTTATCTATATTTAGATGTTGCAGCACTTAGATTGACACCGCTTTTTAATGGCCAATGTGAACAGAAGGGAAGATGGCTGCAAATACAAGCTGTTTCAGTGTTGACCTGATGTTGGCCTGTCCTTTCATTGACCCAAAAGCAGTCTGCAGAGTCTTTTTGCATTAATGTCTCTGCAATGTGGTTTCTCACAGCGTCACCTTGCCACCAGAGCAGGTCACGAAGGTCACAGTGGGGCGGCTCCACTTCAGCGAGACCACGGCCAATAACATGAGGAAGAAGGGCAAACCAAACCCTGATCAGAGGTGAAGCACATGTCATCACCTCATCATCGTCACTTTATTGACACTCCCGTGAAAAGCCCCAGTCATCACACTTTCTCCTGATGTTTTCCTCCTGGCAGGTATTTCATGCTGGTGGTGGCGCTGCACGCTCAGTCCCACAGTCAGACCTACACTGTGGCTGCTCAAGCGTCTGAGAGGATCATCGTCAGGGTAACGTCTGGCCATGTCTGTCTGCCTCCTACAACAATCATATCCCTTGTGAATGTGTACCTTTCTCTTAGTCTGCTGCACACACCTACATGCACTTCAGAATCACTGTGTAGATCCCAACATCTCCATTATCTGTCTTTTTATCTGCGATTTTCTAATATTCAAAATTCAACTCCAGAATAAATTGTTTAGGAGAAATTCAAATAATGAAAGAGAAGAGTATTGTTGCCGTCCTGTGAAAAAGCATGTATCTTAATACACGTCAATTGGTTTTTAAGTAATTTATTTAGTTTAAGAATTTGAGGATTTTTTTCAGCACATTCCTTCAGTTTATCTTAAATGTTAAAAATGCAAATTTACAGCCACATGGTTTTCACTGAACAGCAATGGTATTGCACTAATCTCAGGTGTGTAAAGCATGGAATGACAATATTGTTGACTGCTTAAGATTATTAAATATCAGAAGAGCTATTTGAAAACTACACAATTTATAATTTGTAATACATTTCAGTATATTTAAACCGGAACCTTAATCTATTATATTAAGTAAATCTTTTACACATGTTTTGAAGGAGCTATTCATACATTTTGGCAAATAAGCCCATTTGCATTCATTACTCATATCTGTATAATCAATATTAAGCTTAGCCCCCCCCCCCCAAAAAAAAAGGCTATGACAAAATTTAAAAAATGTATTACCTCAAAAACTCACAGCATTAATGTCGGTGATTTTTATAAAATGTGTCATGCACAAATAAAGCCAATAATCATATTTTCCTAAAATGTCAAACTATTCCTTCATATAATTGGATATTTGTGGATCCATCTATCTCAGATACAGGTGTGTTGCAAAGTGTCATTTCAGTCTTGAGAAAAGAAGATCCCACACACTGCTCTCAGTCAGAATCACAATTTATTGATCATATATATATCATATCATTGGTCCCTCATCAAAAACATCTTCTTTTCTCAAAAATATCATCTTTCCTTTTAATATTTTTGTCATTTTTATTTTTCAAGATGTTTTTTTAGAAACGTCCGAACCATGGTTTCTGTGTGCACCTTCTTCTCTTTGTCATAGGCATCCAACCCAGGCCAGTTTGAAAGTGACAACGAGGTGCTGTGGCAGCGTGGACAACTACCAGACTCAGTCTACCACCACGGGAGAGTCGGCATCAACACCGACAGGCCCGATGAGGCCCTCGTCGTCCACGGCAACCTGAAGGTCATGGGCTCTCTGGTGCACCCGTCTGACATCAGGGCCAAAGAAAATGTCCAGGAGGTCAGGATGTGTTTTCAAACTGTCAGCGTCTCACTGTGTGCCTCATGTGCTCGTCATCATGGCTCATGCCCTCACAGTTCCCTGACTGGGCAGTTTAACTCTGAGTTTTGTCATTTCATTGTACTTGACCCAAGCATTTTCATCTGCAACATGGACGCTGTGTTTCCACACCATCTGCATGGATGTCATTGTCATTCTGCCTGTGTGTAGGTCGACACCACAGACAATTTGAAACGGATCTCTCAGATGAGGCTGGTCCATTATCAGTACAAGCCAGAGTTTGCTGCCACCGTGGGCATAGAGAACACTGCAGACACCGGTAACAACCTCGTGAATAACCTGTGATCAACTGTTAATGTTTAGCTCCATTATCTCATCTCTTTGTACACTGTTTACCATGTTTTCATCTTAAAGGTTCAGTGTGTAAGATTTAGGTGAAAGGGATTTTTGGCAGAAATTAAATATTAAATAATCCTAGTGATGTTTTCACTCGTGCGTTTAATCTTAAGTGTATGAATTGTTGTTTTCCTTACCATAGAATGGGCCTTTTATATATAAAATGTATATTTACATGGAGGGGGGCGGTCCTCTCTGTGGAGGCCGCCATGTTTTTAACAGTCGCCCAAACTGGACAAACTAAAACCTTTTGAGTTTTCATGACAACTGAAGTTCACCACAAGTTCTCTTTCATGTTTGGAAGGAGAGGGGATGAGGAGTATTCAGCTGCAACATGCAACTTCACCTCTAGATGTCTACACACTGAACCTTTAATATCTTAATATTTGGTCTGTGTTTTGCTCCATGTGCATCATTATGAAAGCCTTTCTCATATATTTTGCTTCTTTTTAACTTCAGTACTTGTTGTATCCCGCTGCAGGAGTGATCGCTCAAGAGGTCCAGCAAATCCTGCCTGAATGCGTGAAGGAGGGGGGTGATGTGGTGTGCGCCAATGGAGAAACGATTCCCAACCTGTTAGTTGTCAACAAGGTAATGACCTCATACACACATACTGTACATGCAGCACAGACAGAGGTTTCTTTGAGACCCACTGACACCTCTCCCTCTAATTTCAAAGGAGCGCATCTTCATGGAGAATGTGGGGGCGGTGAAGGAGCTTTGTAAGCTGACGGACAACCTGGAGACGCGCATAGACGAACTGGAGCGCTGGAGTCGCAAGCTGGCCAAGCTGCGTCGTCTCGACAGCATGAAGAGCACTGTGAGTGGAGGCACTGTCAGGTGAGAACAAGGACTAATCCAGGCAGATTTACACTTAAACATGTGTGTTACATGTTGACAGATAGCAACATGCATGAGCGGCAGGAAGTGATTTATTACTTTTGTCATTCTTGTCCATGCAGCCAATCAGGAAGCTATTTTAGCCGGACAGGAAGTGGCCCGCTCAAGAAGAAGACGGTCAAACCTGGGAGCAAGGTCTGTGGTGATGCTTGGTAATTTAAATGTTCTAGAGCTGCCAATTTAACAGCTTTTAATGTATGTTATCTGTTATTTTAAAATGCAGAGCTCGCCTCCAGATCAGGGCTGCATCAGTCAGAAATTCATGCAGGGAACCATCCTGGCACTGGTCATTGTCATGGCCTTCAGGTAAGACTGAAACATAATGTGTTTAAATGACCACTGGTGGAAAGAAGTATTTCTGTTTTATCGGTGCACATTATAATACGTTACATCTTTATTCGTCTCCCCACAGTGTCATTTCCATGTCTGTTCTTTATGTACTGACTCTTCACCACAGAGGAGACGTCACAGATGGGTATGTGCTTTGGATGAGACCACACACTTCTGATTTATGAACAAAGAAATCAAACTTCTTCTCTTTAATACCTCTCAGAATAATGATGTCTGTCCTCACTTTCCATAGCTATGTCCCTTCCTGTGTTCTCTACATTTCTTGGATGCCCATCTTCACTGCCACTGTAACTTTCTGTCCACCTGTCTGCCCCTGGTACGCTTTCGACACCTGTCTTTTTCCTGCAACTCCTCTCACTGTCTGACCTACTGTTCTCTTTCAGCCTTATCTTTGATTGCTTAGTTGGGTGTTTCTTCTGTCCCGTTTGAAAGGGGATCGAGATCATGAGTCACGTATTCAAACACGCCAAAAATACATTTGTTTTTAAGTGCATCATTGTTTTAGTGAAAGCATGCACTTGACCTGTTGTACCGTGCTGTGCAAATGGTGCAGGTCCAGGGCAGCACTGGGATCTTCACGCAAGAGTGCCTCACTGTCCACCACTCCTGCACCTGGTGAGTGGAGAGGACTTGTAGGATTTAAGCTTTCTGTTGAAAATCCCATTAAAACTACAATTAATATGCTCACATGTGAATATAAACATGTTATCCTATAAGATCTGATCCATTTCTGTCACAAATCCTGCAGCTTGCTGTTCAACCCCCGTCACAAACAACCAATCAACCACAGTTTTGACTCTGAGTAACAACCAATCCACAACAGGTACGTCAGTAAACATGAGATGTGATGTCCTGTATTATTTCGGTGTCTTCAGGACAATCTAATTATCGTCCTCCTCTAGATTTAGGCAGCCTGGCTCCCACACCAGGCGTTATCAGTAAGAAGGCCAAGTCCAGAGCGATGGACAAGGATGGCCACAGTAGAAACCGCCTGAGTCACACCTCAGCCCCTTTGTACTTTGCCAAGTCCAAAAGGCCGGCACCGACCGACCTGGACAGCGCAGGGTCTACCAACCGTCTGCCCGGGAGTCAGCCAGTGCCACGTAGACAGCGCAGCCTACATACAAAGGGTAAAATTCACAAACTCAGCCGAGACATGGCACTTTCTTCACACACACAATATGCAGTATGCAAACACAGTTAAAGCCATTTGTTTGACAGGAGCAAACAAAGCTTGTTACATACTGTACAAAGGAATGCTAAGGGTACTTTGGCTCATAAGGCTTCTTCTTGCTTTTGCAGAAGGAAGGTCAGCTCCCTCTCTGACCAGTCTACATATTGTTGAAACCAACCAAGAGATCACAGCGCAAAGTTGTGCAACACCCAAAAGCTGCAGGTAAATAGACACTGATGTCAGACAGACTGGTGACAAATCAAAGGAAGGTAAAGTTTCTTAGTGACCACAGGCTGCCAGAACAACTTCAGTATGAATCAGCTGTCGGCCAAACTCAACTCCTCCGAAGGTGTTCCCTCATATTTCTGTGATGATAGTGGAGAGAGCTGATTTCATTCTCCCACAGCTGTTCTGTTGTGTTAAAGTCTGGTGACTGGGAATGTCATAGCAACTGATTCATGTTTGAATACAGATCCATGTGTGCGGATACTCATTTTTTCCCTCTATGTTTTTTTTAGCTACACCATATCACTCCACGGAAAAAGAAATTCCTCCACCTCACAAATTACTTTGTACATGACGTGAGTATACATCACACTATCTACCTAATACATGCAACCATGACACTTTATTGCACTGCTGTAAATTCCTAATCATTTCCTGGGAGGATCACCTGAATGGACTATGGCTCTGATTACAGATAAAAGATAATACAGACAATACCTAATTGGTACAACAAATGACCAATTGATTTATTCCAGTTAATTGCTAAACTCTCTTAACCTAGACTATTATAGTCATGCACAGCATGCAGCTCAGTGCAATGTTTTCAGAGGCAAGCGTACATTTCAACATACTGTACTTTAATTATAATTTAGCTTTTAAACTCAACACAACTAGTACAACAAATATATATCTATTTTTTAAATATTATTTCCAGTTAACTTACAAGAAATTATTGGAAATTTGTTGTGGAAGGAAAGACCTACAAAATACTGCATCACCAATTTGTTGTAGGTCCACAAAGAACGTGTGGGTTCAACAATGTGGAGCCACCAAGGGACGGCTATGCCCCAACCACACAGAGGCAGCGCTCTACAGGGGTCAGAGTACATCAACAAAGGTACATTATAATATGTATATTCATGATCTCCCATACAATTAAAACATATACAATTCTGTTTGTTTCGAATCCTGGTTGGGGGTATTTATTGTGTGGAGTTTACATGTTCTACTCGTGTCAGGGTCGTTTTCCTCCAAGTACTCAGTCCAGAGACATGTAGACTGACCTGAGGTTAATTGGAGACTATTAATTGACCATGTCTGTGTTAGCCATGTGATATACTGGCGACCTTTCTCTACCCCCCCTACGGCCCTTTTAGGATAAGCAGTATAGATAATGGATGGGAAACCTATTTTCTCCACGGGTGACTTACTGTAAATTACTCATTTTTTTCTCTCTGCTCTTCTCCAAGGGGACTCGTCACATGTGGTCAGTGCCTGTTCTGTCGTTCCAGGACGTCACCTATCACTTCCGTGTGTCCCTGTCTGTGAGTAAAACTCTGCCTCCAAAAAACGTAGCGTGTGGTAAATTTAGTTCAAGTCAAAATATAATATAAAATAANGTGTGTGTGTGTGTGTGTGCGTGCGTGCAGCAGAAGGACACTTCCTTGACTCTGACTGGTTTGTGAATCATTCTTTTTATTGAATTCTCCTATTTTCTTTCTTCCCTGTTTTAGGTTTTGGCATGGGGTGTGTGTGTGCCCAGTCATTGGGGGCCTCATTTGAGTATACACAGTTTCCCTTTAGGATTTGACTCTAGTTTATGGTAATACCCACGGATCTAGACGCAGTTTTGAAAACCCTGTTGAAGTTGGCAGATCTCAATAAGGCTTCTTGCTGGGATTAATGTATAGTGGTTTATTCATATTTTTAGTTTATTTTTCTCTCCACAAAACCAGACATCCACCGTAGACATATAGACAAACACAGAAACAGAAATACCTATGAATGTAGAAATGGAAGATTAAAAAAGAAATCGTGACATGACAGTGGTGGAGAGAAGAGAGAAAGAGATGCAAGTTTCCCCTCTCTCTTTTTCTCACTCCTGTGTCTTACATGAGGACTATGTTTACACCCTCTCAGGCAGGTTGCGTCTCCTTCATATATTCATCTACTTTCAGTTTGTTAAGTTAGGGTTTGATTGACAGAATGGAAGTGCAGATGTCAAGGAAAAGAAGGATGATTGAGGAGTAAAGAGGAGGTTTGGTAGCAAGGGGGGAGCACAGGAGCAGACTGTGGGTGTGTAGGACAGCAGGTTGTTTAGTCTGCCCAATGTAAAGATGCACAGTTGTAACCCGAGTGTTCTGTCTCTCAGGAAACTGTGGGACTCTAAGATAGCCGACCCGTCCTCCAGGTAAAATTAACATCTTTTAAAATCATGTATATTTTCTGTACAAAGAACGAGTAATGTAACAAATCATAAATATGCCTCTGCTGTCCCTGTCTCCTGTCCCCTTCAAGGCTGCGGACACAGATTGGTAAAAAGGGATATTGGGTGGAGAAAGTGCAGTGTCAGGGTGTGGAGGTGTCTCTGTCGCAGTGCCAGGCCCAGCTGTCCCTCCCCAGGACTGATGTCCCGTGCAGCGGGGGCATGCATGCAGTGGTCCGCTGCGTCCCCGGGTACCAGTTCGCACGCTATGGAAGAGCACCTGCACCACCTGCTGTAACGGTAAGTGTGGAGGAGCACAGGCGACTTGATTGTGAATTAAAGTGTTAAAATTTAAATTCTGAAATAAAAAAGGAAACTTATTACCAACTATAAAAAGGTACTTCAATTAATAAAAAATTAATAAAGTGAAGAATTTGTGTGATGCGATGTCGCAAAAGCCAATCAGTGTTGAATATCATCAGCCTGGACAGTGAAATTCTCTGGATGGTCTTTGTGGACCCACACACAACAACACTGGCTTTTTGGCTTTTCCACTTTAGGTTCACCGCAGCGATTGTAGTCACTTCACTAGCCCTGTTCTCCTCTTTCCTGGAGGAGAACAGGGGAATACTCGCAGCTTGTGTTTACTCTTGTTGCTTAAGCGGGTACCACTTGTAAACACAAATGACACTGCAGCCAAACTTGCATGTAATGACACATGGAAATTTGTTTTGTTTTGGTTTGAAAGCAGAACAAGTTGTTCAGATCAACCGTTTCTCTCCTAAACCCATCTTTTTTCCCTGCAGCCTGTTGTCCGCCTGAAGGCGGGGCCCCGTCTTGGGGAGGGTCGTGTCGAGGTGCTGATAGAGGGCAAGTGGGGCACCATGTGTGACCACCTGTGGGACGTGACTGCAGCCAGCGTGGTCTGTAGAGAGCTGGGCTTCGGGACAGCCAAAGAGGCCCTCAAAAAGGCTCAGCTGGGACAGGGTAGGACAGGATACTTAAAGATATATTGTTCTTAAAGGCATACAAAGTGTACTTTAAATCTGCATATACTGTACTTTCAAGGTTTACTCATTGTGGCAAGTGAGACTTTGCCCCAGATGTTTAAACTATACTATAACTTGGTGTTTATTTGTCCTCTTATGCTATCAGATATCCTCATTCCTAAAGTCATAGAGTATAATAAAGGCCTCAAGCTGCTAATCTGATTTTCTGATTAAATGGCACAGACTTTGAAGCAGTGCCTGAATTCACCATGCACCCTGAGCACGATCAGTTTAGCTCAGTGATTCCCTCAGACTAAACACTCCTCAGTCTAAATGCCTGTTCCTAAACGCAGCACACCGAGAACCATGGGCCTGAGCAGACAAATAAACCCTGAGTGATGTTTACAGCCTTACTTCTTCTTCTATTGAAGAAGCTGATTGTTGGGGAACTCTACCCATGACCAATTATACCAGTGTAAACTGCGCTCAGAGCTTCTAGCGGCCGTGTTTTTTTCAAAATAAACCTGTTGTATGTGAAAAGTCAGTGCTGCTTTGAAATCCAGGATGTCAGGCAATCAGTGCAGAGCACGACCAAACATTCAGAGAGGCGTGATTATTTTGACCCTCCTTTTGTTGTGGGCAATGAAAATATAGTCTCTAAATTGCACAGCAATAATAGAGTGAAGCCGTTTCCTCTGAGATAGCGTGGTCACTTTCTCACACTCAGTCATCATCCTTTTCTTTTCCTCGTTTTACCTCGGCAGTAATTCTGTAATCACGTTTATTTGCTCCCATTATGTTTCTGCTCAAATGAGCACATAGCATGTCCTATAATTGTGGAGCACATTTCCCTCTCACTACTTGACTTAATGAACTAGTGATGGAAACCATTTGAGTGTTACTTTTAGGGCCTAGTTAAACTAGGTGCTATGGTGCTGTTTGCTCAATAATGCTTGTGGTTAAATATCACAAAGGAACGTTGTGGATTATAAAGCCTCAGGCCTGTTTAGCAAAGTTGTGTGAATATATGATACTGTATAAAGCCTCTTGGCCACTGGTAAAAAAAAAAAACACTAGCCACTTTGTGCTTTTGTCTGCAATGAGAATGGATACAATCAGCATTTACTTCCGGGTCAAACAACTCTTCAGTAGACACAGGTTTTTATTGGTTTTCACCCCAGGTGAACGTGCTATTAGGCAAGACAGCAAAATGAGAGAGTACCTCAGTTTGATGTCAAACACGATGCACCAGGGGAAGAAAAATGAAGCGCTACTTGTAAGGGAAGATAAATCAAATGCGTTTTTTAGTGGGTTTACCTGCGTTTAAAAACCACCTGCGTGTACCTGCTAGTTTTGCTGTAAAGGAGCAATAACAGATGAGTGTGCATTGCAGGAGGAAAGTGGGGGCTCATAGGCAGCAGTCAGAGAACTTGAATCAGACTTGATGACATCATTAGCTAGTTAAGGCCAAATTATAGGGCTTTATAGAGCATTAGCCTGGGCCTCACACACCTACGCAAACATAGATGTGCTCAAAGATTTTTCCTCCGTTTTGCCATTTTGGTATCTATTTTGGTTTATAAAGCGTGGCCCTGGTGTGCCTTGTGCTGCTCTGAGTACAGTAATTTGGACAGAAAGCTCTCTGGCTAAGCTCAGTTTCAGAGCCACATCACAGGTCCCAAACATGTCTGGGCTTCTAATCCCTCTCTGTGGACATCTGTGGCTGCAGAGCCATCAGGTTTAAGAGACGTTGATGTACCATGTGCATGTATGTCCTTTTGCGTGTGGTTAGTAAGTCACATGTGAGTCAATCAACTGTCGCTCCACACCCTTCTCCTATAGGTACTGGTCCCATCCACATGAACAGCGTCCAGTGCACGGGCAGAGAGAGGTCGATTACAGAGTGCATCTACAGACCGGTGCCGCTCTACAGCTGCAAACACAACCAGGATGTAGCAATCCGCTGCAACGTGCCCAACATTGGCCTGCAGACCACGGTGAGCAGCGCGCATGACAATGTGCCACAAACAGATATCGAGCAGTGTCACTCACAAGAAAACACTTTCCCCTCCCTCCATATTCAGGTGCGCCTGGCGGGCGGCAGGGAGCCATCAGAGGGCCGCGTGGAGGTGCTGATGGAGATCGGAGGAGTGAAGCGCTGGGGCTCCGTCTGCAGCGAGAACTGGGGCATCAATGAGGCCATGGTGGTGTGTCGACAGCTCGGCCTGGGCTTTGCCTCAACAGCTCATCAGGTAAACCATAGAGTGCAATAGCTTTTCTGCTCCTGCATTTCCTCCTCTCTCTCTCTCTCTCTCCCTCTCTTTCTCTCACTCTCTCTCTCTCGCTGTCCCACTGTTTGTGTGTCTGTGCTGTGTTATTACCGAGGCCCGAGATAATTACAGGCTTCTCAAACGTCCACTTCCAGCGCACCCAAAATAAAATAGGGAAAGTGAGGTGAAGAGATCGGAGAAATTCACAGAGAAAACAAACTGAAAATAGAAGTGTGCATGGAAAGGGCACCGTGAATGGGTTTTGGGGAGGGGGGTGCGCTGGGAACATTTAACATGCTGTTTTAAAACTGTGAAAAACAGTGGAAACTGTGATAATATGCACTGATAGCTACTATAAAAAAGAGGTTCTGTTATTTATAGCAGCTTTCAGCTCAGACATTTTCACATCTTATTCCAGAAACAACAGCCAAATGAGCTCGTAGGGATTTTGCATGTGAATGTCTCTTTGCAGGAAACCTGGTATTGGCCTGGTTCCTCAGATGCCGGGGAGGTGATGCTGAGTGGGACACACTGCATCGGCACTGAGATGTCCATCCAGCAGTGTCGCAGAAACACAAACGTCTACTGTCCCAGGGGAGGAGATGGCAGAGCGGCAGGAGTGACATGTGTAGAGAGTGAGTCCAACACCAGCAAACACATGGCCATATTTAATATCTGTTGTGCAGCAAATGTGACGTAAACTCTGAGTCTTGATCCCCCCTGCAGCTGCACCTGACCTTGTCCTGGACGCTCAGCTAGTCCAAGAGACGGCCTACCTGGAGGATCGACCCCTGCACCTGCTGACCTGCGCCAATGAGGAGAACTGCCTGTCCTCCTCCGCCGCCAGGATGAACTGGCCCTATGGACACCGCCGCCTGTTGCGCTTCTCCTCCCGCATCATGAACCTGGGTTGCGCCGACTTCCGACCCAGAGCCTCCAGAGAAAGCTGGGTTTGGCACCAGTGCCACAGGTAAGATCACCATAACCTGAACCAGACATTTGTTTGCTCTTAGCCACTGTGTCACAGAGAATACCTTTGAGTTTCTCAGCCAGAAAACCTGGTTTGACTCTGGCACCAACATTTTCCTGGTTCAGAAGATAGAACCACTTTCATCATGAACAACAAGACCAACACAGACCGAAACATTTTGACCACCTTATGTGTCGTGTGTGAAGAAGATTCAATATTTTTAACTACCAAAAGGAAGCAGCAGTCGTCCATGGAGCAACACTTGAAAAGAGACAGTGTAGTTTGCCATTGTTGATGTCATGCTTGAAGTTGTTGCTAATGTTACTGGTAAATCAGAGATGCATAGAGTGATGTACAAAATGACAAATGGCTTTATGGTGGTTCTAGCAAGTGGAAAATTAAAACTGGATCTTAAAGGGTTCGCTAGACTCCACCTTGGTCAAAAATGGTGACTGTAAGGTTTTCATTTGAACCAGCAGCTGCTTTTTTTACGCCTTGAACCAGATAGGGAGTAACTATGTGGTGATTTTAGCTGCTGCAGGGTTTGGTTGGAAGAGAGAACCTCCTCTATGGCACAGGAATGGGCATCATTATGAGCTGGCACAAGAAATAGGAGCCAAAAAAACACAGTTGCTACCAGAGGTCAAAAAAATGAAATGTCTGCAGCAGGAGATGATTGAGGATTTTCGGATTTGGTGAGTGAAATGGGATCGCTAGGTGCAGCATGCTGCAGTTATATTTTTACGATCTGGACTGTAAATAAACAAAAATGATGTTTACAATAAACATCCTCCTCCCCAGTCACCCAGTTGTTACAGTCAGCCATGACTGCAGTCGCAGCAGCCTGGCCTCTTATCTCAGCGGTTGTGGTTGTGCGTCCAAAAAAAAAAAGAGGCACAGTGCGTTGTGTCCTTGAGCCACAACACAATCACTACCTCCACAACCAGCAAACACACGGTTTGACTCTCAGCTTTGGTAGAAACTGCTCTGGGAACGGTTCTGTAATGAGAGAAAGGGCAACACCAAAGTGATACCTATCTGCCAATATGTGCTTTTACAATTGTTGTTTGTGTCTATTTGACGCCGTGACAACAACATAGCTGGATTTATGACAGATATATTTCAAATGAACTTCAGGAAACAGCAGTGAAATCAATAGAAATCTTTACTTCTGTAACTTTCTGTCGTTTTTATATCATATATTATATATTACATATATATGTTAATCTTTCCAAATGATCCCATTTTCAGGCACTACCACAGCATTGAGGTGTTCACCCACTACGATCTGCTCACCCTCAATGGGACCAAGGTTGCTGAAGGTCACAAAGCCAGTTTCTGTCTGGAGGACACATACTGCCCTGAAGGTGAGAGGGACTGCAGAGTCATGTTTTGTACATCTGCTTTTTGAGGGAATTCTGGCAACAAGAGCAGGATCGTGACAAACAAGAGAATCGAAAATACATATAAGCTCAAAGCTGAAATCCCACAAAGTCGTTTGTAAGATCAGAGGCCAAGCCTAAATTCATCGTGGCTTCACAAAGCCCAGACAGTTTTATGCAGCTTAAATCCTTTTCATTCACTTAAAAAGTGCTTAAAAATAGGATCGGCACTTTAAATCATTTTTGTTATAATTTCAGCTTGTTGGTAGGAATTCAAATCCACAGAGATTGATGTCAAAGAATTCTCACATCATAATGTCCTTTTATCTCTCTCATATAATTCTGACTTTTTTTCTCCTCCAGGTCTCCATAAGCGTTATGCCTGCTACAACATGGGACAGCAGGGTATCTCAGTTGGCTGCTGGGACACATACCGCCACGACATCGACTGCCAGTGGGTGGACATCACAGACGTACGACCTGGTGAATACATCTTCCAGGTGAGGAGGGCCATTTACCACAAAAGTAACACACAGTCTGAAACCTGACACAAAAACACAGCACAAAACAAGAGGGGGGATTAGAATTAGCTAGACTTCATCAAGATCGACAAAGTAAAAATGAAAAAAACAGCGAAAAAAACAAGGAACAAGGAAATAAAAAAGGAAGGAGGTCGTTTTGTTTGGTTTAGATTATCTTATTGCTGTACGTGTTAATGAGTGAATGTAAAGGAAAGAAGCAAATGTATAGTTCAGTTTATTTCAAACATTTTTTTAAAGGTGAAACAAAAAGATCACAAAATGGGAAGGGAAAAGGGAACACCATGCTTTGCTGAAAATTCACTAGATTCTAAACAACCTCTGAGAATGGGCAGAAATGTGAAAAAGAAAAGAACAGGGCAAACAACTGGGGTTTGTGTTTCAACATCTGAAGGCACACATGAGATAAGAGCTGTGATAAAAGACCATAATTTCAGCTAAATGGCTCTTGGCTGGGCTTGCAGCCACTCAGGTGTACAGTATGTACGTACTGTATGTAGTTTGGAGGGTGTGTGCGTATTTAGGGAAAGTGAATTTAGTCTGGATTTATATAGAAAGTAGACCTGCTATTACTACACCCTCTCAGAGAGTGTGGCAGTGGAAAAGCTCCCTCAGCACATTTGTACAGTGAGTTTTTTTGTTTGAGAGCTGAACTCATCCACTCTGCTGTGGTGACCTTCTCACATGTCCTCCCTCTCTGTCATTTGTTCTATTTTTTCCCGACAGTCATGATGTTTACGGTTTCTAATTATTTCCGGAGTGTTTACAGAAAATCACGACGTTCACGTTTGATGTGTGTATTCACCGTATGTAAACTACATGCAGGAGTGGTCTCTCAGAGCCGTATGCACACGTGTGACCAGACCCGTCTGGAGAGATAAAAACCACACATATATGTCAAAAAGCAGGGATCCACTGACGCCATGCCGTTGCAAACCAGCAGCAGTTTGTGGTGGTTATTATGGTTCAACAGTAGTTGAGCTGCTCGTAAATTTATATAAGAAGTGAGAGATTGAGGGAAGGCGCAAACGCTTGTCTTTCATGCAGCGGGTGTGTCTTTGAGCACAGGGTGGCAGCCATTTTTAGTAGCATACATTTAAAGCCATGAGTCACGTCCACCTCAGCCTGAGGACTCCTGATTGCTCCATCATTTACAAATCAGCTGCACAACCTCAGTCTTGACGACCTTTCATTGTTATCTTAAACAGGCTGCAGGCCCTTTTTTCACGTTATTACGAAAGCTTTTTAAAGAGCTTCGACTGCAACCACCTAATATGTTTTTCACTAGGACAGTAAAGTATAAAGTTATATACATTCTATGGTGCAGAGTGCAGTTAGAAAACTTTGCGTTCATCCTTCCTGATTTATCGGCAATGAAGGTTTTATAGTCAATGTTTTTGTTGAAATGAAACTGAATTTATTACTGTTTGCGTGTCGTTTATATATAAGTTTTAAATGAATTACTTAACTTCTTTTTTTTTTTCATACATTGCATGTCGGATATTTCAGAGGTCTGTTAAACAATAAACAGACATTGAGAAAGATTTGCTAAAGAGGAAATGTGTCTATGAATGCTGTCGTCATGGCAGAGATCCGGTCCATTGAGATTTGTGGAATAGGTAGAATTTCTCCCCACCAAATTTGGCTTAAAATATAAAGAAAAAGAATAATTGCTACGTATATTTTACATCTTAGATCTTTTTCTGTAAATATAATTGTTACCACAAATTTTAAACTGAATGTAAAATAAATGAAAGTGGGTGGCTTTATTGTATATGTGGTCAGCTTATCTGTTTGATGTGTGCATCAGGAAAATTCATTTATGTGTTTTTCTTATATATATATAAGGCAGGCAGGCAGACAGGGTGGAAAACAACCAACCATGGCTACAGCCTAATGATAGGCTGCAAGTTAATCCAAACCCAAAACTGTCATCTGCATCTCCCAGCCTTTTTCTCGCATGGTGATAACAGTGGAAAGTGATGTCATGCATTGCTTCAACTGCACATTTCTACACGATGAGCCATATAGAACAGGGGAGAACAATAATTCTGTGGCTTCTCAGGCGGCCCTATGGAAAACCAGCTTCTAACTGTCTGAAGTAAAGTGTTACTTTCTCACTTGTTCCCTTACTTACAATGTTAAGAAGTCAAAAAGGTGCTTTCAGTGGAGACTACAGGGAGTCACTACTTATGGTCAAGAAATGTTTCTTCATATGGATTAAATCAAAAACTTCAGATTACCAAGGAATTGTAAAGACTAAATAATCATTTCCAAGAAGAAAAATGTCTTTAAATCCAGTCCTATGTGGAACTAGCTACAGGTATTACTAGTCAACTTTATCAAAGGCTTTTTCTAGACAAAGGACAAGACATGTTTCACACCTTTCTCCTGAATTCAAACTTACAGCATCTCATCTGTGCTCTCTCTTCTTTTACAGGTGGAGGTCAACCCTTCCTTAGACATGGCTGAGTCTGATTTCCAGAACAACGTGATGCGCTGTCGCTGCAAGTACGACGGAGTCCGAGTTTACATGTCTGGATGCCATGCAGGTAGAGCGCTGTGACTTCTCCTGTGCACATACACCATCTCGTTGTCAGCGTACTGTATACCTCCACCACCATTTGCTGCTGTTAACTCCCATTCTCCTGTTTGTCTGTTTTCATCAGGTGATGCTTACAGTGCAGAGGTGGAGGACTTGTTCGACCACCAACGTCAAATCTCCAGCAACTTCCTGTGAACTGAAGAACACGCAGATATAAGGACAGAACAACTGTACAACTCCTCACAACACCTCAACATGTCAGGGGAGGGAGGTTTCTAATGACAATGACATGCCAGTAAAAAGAGAGATGAGGGGCAGTGGGAGGAGGAGGGGGAGCTGGGATAATGTGGGAGGGAATTCATGCAACAGATGATTAATTAGGATCCTGTGACTGAAGAAGGAGAAATGTAGAAAGAGAAGGCCGTCGCAGGCATCCTGCCACCATGATAAAACATAGAGTAATACATGATTTTACAAAAACCTTTCAACAAATTTCATTCCCTTGATCGAAACATAACACAGTGAACAAAGTGATGACATGAAGGCGCACTAGTACAACACCTTCTGTACTCTTTCAGTGCATCACCAGGCTGTTGTCCATATGACATCAACACAGATCACCGACTGTTGACAAAGCTCGTCATGCCTCCTGTGCTTTCACTGTTTACTGTTTTTGGTTTTCAATGAGATTTTTTATTTCTTGGTGCTATTTTGCCTCTTTTGAATAAATTTTGTAATGTATTGCAAATGTATTGTCATGTACAGTTTTATATTACCTCTCTTGAATATTGCTTTATAATTTATGCTGAATTTTAATGTACTTTTGAGTTGAAACTTGTCCCTGTGTGGCTGTGTTTTTTATTTTTTATTGTTGCTTTTATTGATAAATACATTTAATTCTGTTTGTTCTTAACTTGTGGGTAACATCAGACCATATCTGATTGTACCACGGCGTTGCGCCTTTAACAGTACTTGGTAATGGTAGAGAAAGAATAAACGTCAGACTGACAAACTGACTGTATGGTTATTTGAGGCATGGTTATTTTGACTGCAGAGAACAAAGATAGTGGTAAATGCTACGGTTTCTGCAAAAGATATGAGAATCTGAACTTGCTATGAGAGATTCCCCATATGTAACCATGTAGTAGAGTTAATAAGATAATAGCAGCTCAGGTAGTTAAACAGCAGCTTATCAACGTCATGAGCAACATTTTACACTCCTCTGTCAAGAGTGAAAAGTTTGAGAACTGATTTCTCATCTTTTCCCAGGGAGCTGGAACTGAACTGTATTTTATGGTTGTTTCCAACCTCAGACCCATTAGTGAACACATACAGACAGTGGGAACTCTGACAGCTCCACACTGTCACGTATACATATGCTATACTTTAAATATATGACTGACTGGTCCCATTTTTATCCTTTTATGAGTTGGAGTAGAATATAATTTTCACTTTGAGTGCAAGTGCATAAAGGAAGTGATAGACAGAGGCTCACTCCTCCATCCATATTTTACAAACAAGTCCCTGAAAATGTCTTTTCATGTCCATCAGTACCTGCACTTTTTTATGAGTAATTTTATTATCATACATATCAGTCCATTTATCCCATGATTTAATGTTATGGCACGATTATTCCTTCGTTCGGACCATGCCTCACATTTCTTTTCCACCAGAACCAGCACTGTCTGAGCAGTGGTTTGTGTTTGTGTTGTTAATCTAATGATTGTGTGTGAGAGGCAGTCGGCTGCTCTGCGGTACATCGCCTCCTCGTGCTGCCACAGTAAAAGCATGAGATTTATAGGCAGGGCTCGGATCTCACACGACGATGGTGAAGAAGAGCTACAGGCTGTGTTTGTAGCTCAGCTGCACACTCATACACACTGAAATGTCATGGAAGGGGTCACGTGTGCTCTGAAACCAGCAGAGGCCTGAAAGAGCTTCAATCACAAGCCTGAATAATGATAAAACACTTATTTGTTGTTCACTCTAGTTGATCTAATGTAAATACAGAACTAAACCACAATTTCTCCTCCACCAGCCAGTGCAGTCTTTTTTACCAGACTGATATGAGGTCACCGTGTCTTTTGACTTTCAGCCACAGAAAGCTAATCAGTTCATCTTTGAGTCCGACTGTTTGTACCAATCTGAAGAAATTCCCTCAAGGTAGAAAGAAATGATGCCTCCAGCCTCCAGCACGAAGACATAAAAACATAAAGCTGATGCTGAAAGAAATTCATAAATGCAGTATTGTCTTATTGTAGATTTTCTTCTCCAAACTCTAAGCAATGATACTATATATACAGATTCATTTAAGAGTTTACTGGCAAAATCACATGAACATATAAAATTCATGGGTAAAATACTTATATTTACGACAAAATTAATTGGACTAATTTTCACTTTATGCCTGTTTACATACAAATCTCATTGTTTTTGGTTCCTTCAGGCATTAAAATTATTTTAGAACAGTTCTGTTAAATCTACCTCTATGCTGTTAGTCCATGAATCCTGCTTTCAGATGCATTTTTATAAATTTAACAGTATGATTGTCACACTGATGACGAAAACAGCATAAATGAATCGCTCCTAATGCTGAACTAACTCTGTGCAAAACCACCTTTAGAAAGGACGCTGCAGAGACATCAGCTCCTGTAGAGACTGCAGTTGCATAAATACAAATTTGTCTTTGTGAATCACTAATTCAAATTGAACAACTGAAGATGAAACGGTGCCTCCTCTGAGGCTGCAGCACTTTAATTTAATTTGTTTTATGAGCCACGTGGCACCATCTCAGTCACCCTAGGCCACTTGTTACTGATCTACACAGGAACAAACTGGGTCCTGTACTGGATTCAGTAGAGCTGAATATCATCCTGGTTGAATGCACTTATTGGAAGTCGCTTTGGATAAAAGATATGTAATGTGATCAGATGGAGGCAACATCATGTTTTATATCACAGTTGTGCACCCAGCAGGATGTTAACACATGTTAACTTGAACCATAAGAGCTGGGTGCTTATATGGCCAAGAGTTAACAACAAATCTTAGATTCACTGAGAACAAAAACATTTGCAGCTCTCTCTGCAGGCTGGGAGAATGAAACTTAATTACTAGCTGAGGAGGTGAAGGAGACGCAGTGCCACATGGTCTGTGGTCGCCTGGGTGAAGCCTCAGAGGAGGCAGCAGCCTCGACATGTGAAAAAGTCTCCTGAGGCTGGACGGGTGCTGGTTAAGTGTTAGGAAACTGAATTTGAGGATAAAAGTTTGTTTAAATTAATTCAACATTGTTGTGTCTACAAGAAAGAAAGCTCATGTTTCTAATTATAATCAGGAAAAGTAGCCAGTTGAGATTGACCACATTTTTAATTTAAGGCTATTCTAAAGGGTTGTGTTGAACCTGTGTCCTAAACTAAAACATCACGCAATAATTGAACTGAAGTGAAAACATCAAATCATCCAATTTTTTATTTATTCAGTAATTTACTGTATGCTACTGATACAAACAGACACAGTAATACAACATCTGCTCAATAGTGTCATTCGAGTTCACAGACCCAGGATCTGTGACTCTGCAGCCACATTGAGACCATGTTCTACAAATCGTTCAGAATTTAGTTTTTTCGAAAGTTTTAACCACATATATTTTAAAAAGGATGCTCTCCACTGTGTTTAAAGAAAATAAAAACACTGCCCAATGTCTCAAAATACAGTTTCAAATGGATTTGAAAGGTAAACTGGGAGTTCATCAGAACAACATGCCATATATTTATATTTAAGTACCGTTGGAGCCTTTGAATAAAAACCAGTGGGGAAACATTATTGGGATGCAATACACTACATTTATTTAAGACTCATCCATGTTCATGATACTTTCTCAGACCTAAGAATGCTTCATGCTGTCTTGATACTACTTAGCTTAAAAGATCATGACGAAGATCAAGTTATTTCTGTTCAAAGTTTCCAGACAGAATGGGTGAAAACATTTTCATCATCATTTCTTTGGACAAAGAAATCCTCTGACTGAAAATATGTACAGACAAACACAAGACACAGTTCAAATGCTGAAAAACTGACCTTATATGACGTTTTAAAAATGAAGTAAAAGTTTAATAAAAGTTATCATTATACAGAATTTTATCTTAACAGTATCTTCATAAACCATAATGAACTGTATCATCATGACTAAACAATACAGGATCTTTACCTTGCAGCTGGAATTAGTTCAGTTTATCTTAAAAAACATTTTTAAAAAATTAAAACAATGACAAACGTGATGCTCTAGATCTGTACAGAAAATCCTCCTTTCAATGAATTACACATGATTAGATTCAGTGCTTCAGTACAGACCTTAGTTACAGTGTTACAGATATGAAAGTATGTCCAGGTGAGAGAACATTTCCTGATCAAAAATAATAATAAAGGAGCAGGAACGGTAGCAGGACGCCCTGATCTGAGGAAACGCTGCCGACTAATGGACAGCGGCAAAAAGGAAAAATTCATGGGAATCCATATCTGGGAAGTGTGGTGGTAGGAAGGAGTGGCCAGTGGAGAGAAACAGAGCAGAAGAAGAAACAGAGAAGTTTTGCGTCTGCTGAATAAAGCAAATGAATCATTGAGGGGTAGTTGTTGTTTTCCGTCACTTTCCCTCCCAAGCATCTTCCTTCAGTTTGGCTTCCAGACGCTTTTGTTCTGAAAGATAAATCACAGACAGATGTTGAACATATCAATCAGTGAAAGCCTTTAAATAAACAACACCATGGTGATGTGTTGCTCTATAGTTATATCACCGTCTCTGCCCCAGAGAAGTGAAGAGCAGACTGAAATGGAGCTGTACGTGGCGTCCATTCCAGGGACACTATGTTCAGCACGTGATGCACGTCTGCACCGACATTTACTCTGTGTGTTGTGATCTTAAGTAAAGAGCACCATACTGCGCAGCGCCCATGCTAAGAACAAAGGAGCTGTTTTTAGTTCGCTATACTCAAGGCCCTGACTTCCTGACTCACTGCTCAGTGGACGGCCATTTGTGGTTTTCTGTGCCTATATACTTATGTTCCATTTGTGAAGGGAAATGGCTGCTGTACTGATTATAGACCTGTTTCCATCTGCACAGGGATGGACAGAGAGCAACTTCTCTTCAAATCAACTTGCAACTGTACCTTCAATTTTTCTTCTGTAAAGTAGGAAAACAGCTCCCTCTTCTGGTAGAAACACTGTGATGTGATGAGGATTCTAACACTTGCTAAAGGCTGAGCACCTGCTATATAGTTTTTCTCAAGGAGACCCTGCTTAATAAGTTTGTGGCCTAAGATGAGGAGTCAAATTACGATATTAACTAATGTTTCAACATGGTCCCTTTCTGTATTCATACCTTTAAGGTCTTTGCACACCAAGCCTTTATTTTTCATATGCGTTTTCTACATCCATTTTAAGTGTCAGGTTAAAAATAATGTTTCAGTGTATAATGCACCTTTTGCTGCCTGGAGTTTCCTCTTCTCTGCTTCGCGCTGCTCGTTCGTCTGGTTGCTTTTTACACCAAGGGCCCCGATCACAAGCCTTCGAGCCAGTGCTGCACTCGTCTGAGGTCTCTCTTTTGCAGGCAGGAGGTAGTCTGAGGATAGACGGACATGAGCATGAAGAGTGACACTGATAATTTGAGGATTCAAATATGTGACATACAGAAGACAAACTGAAAACACCAGAGGACTGTATTTGTACCTGAGCAGCTACGGGCTTTGGCTTTTATGTCTGAGGAAGATTTAGAAAGTGGTCGCAACTTCATCAGTGGATGTTTGGATCTTAAAGCTTCACCGGCTGAAAATAGAAAAGACATAACTCCCTCTAATTCCCTCTGACAACAATTCAGCATGGAAAGTGTCACAACAATGCGGTGCAGCGATTAACTCACCTGCTATGGGGCTTGAGAAGAGGCCTATGGCATGAGCGTCATCAATCCACTTAATGTCAAAGCCTCTCTGTCTGAAATCATAATCAGAAGTCAAACAAAGCAGAAAAGAAGTGTTACCAAAACCTGACATTTGTGGTCCAAAAAGCAGACAGATTTCAAATTCCTACACTTTACAATAGATGTATTCTCTTTTTTAACTTAGGACCATGCAAAGAAAACATTCCTTTAAGAGAAATGCTGCTAGTTTTTATTCTTTTTTCCACTTTCAATCTTAAAATGCACCTACTGGTTTCAACAAGTTCAATTTAAGACTTTTTATTTTGATGTTAAATGATTGTTAACATAATCAAGACCTACCTTAACCTAGTAAGTAATATTTTAACTAAGTTAAGATGTTTTAAGGTTTAAATATCAGATTATTTAATTTCCAACATTTTCAGACCCTGTTAGTGTTTTAAGAAATATTTGAAAAGTTAGATGTTGTGCATTGATACATACTGGTAGGCCTGAAATAACTTGAGAAGATCCTCGGTCTTAAAATCTGCAGGAAAGTCGTAGATTTCTACGATGTGAGAGAGTTCATCCTCTCTGAGGTCGATGTCGTCTTCCTCATCATCTTGGTCCATATTGTAATAATCAAACCTGCGCTCCTGGATGGACTTCTTCTTTCTGCCCTCCTTCACAGCCAGCTGAAGCAAGGGAGAAGAAAAGTGTACAGATGAAGACAGGCCGAAGAATGAATGACAAGAGAAGGAATGGAACTAAAGCTTCAATGTTACTTCTCTGCTTGCTTTTATGCTGAATAAATTGGAAACCGTGAATGTGAGTGTGAATTTCAGGAATTGGTTTTCTGGATATCAGGTCTAATATAATTTATCATCCGGTACTGAAACAAAGCTCTCACCTCTTCAAGCAGGTGCGGATCCAAACAGTCGCCATCATCATTGAACAGTGTATCCCAGCTCTCCTCTTCCTCCTCTTCCTCCAGAAGGGATATTGCTTCCAGCCGTGAGGCAACATCTGCCTCTACAATAGTCGGCTGCCCCTTGACCTGCACATCTGTATCCTGTAGCTGCTCTTCCTGCACATCAGGCTGTGTATCGCTGTTCTGTGTCTGACCTCCATCAGGTGCCGACTTACCCTCTCCTCCAGCCTTGTCCTTCTTGTTCTTGGCATTCTTTCTTGCCTTGTCAGTGTAGCGAGGCCTGGGTCTTGGCTTTACTTCTCCCTGAGTCTGAGCTTTGTCTTTGGAGGCAGTAAGTCGCTGTTTGGGGACGTACAGAGGCTGACTCTGCTTCTTTGTCTCGGAGGGAGGTGTGGGTGTTGGCTGGGAGGTAGCACAGTCTTCCTTTGGCTGTTCCGACTCCATTTCTAAATTGAATTAATAAAACACCTGGATCACGGAGAAAGAAAAAAAATATATTTTAAAAATACACTGAAAATATGGAATGTGATTGTCAAAAAGTATAAATTGGAAGGTCACATGAAACTTCTGATCTGATTCTGTCCCCCAGATTTAAACCTAAAGAGATAGATAATACATTTGCACACTAAGAAATTTGAGATATTTCAAGCTAAGAGATGTCTATGATACAGAATGAAGTGATCCAAGTCTTGAAAAATGGAATAAATTCACTGGATATAATATTGCAATCGGAACTGATGGGACGTGTACCTGAGACAGCAGGTGACATAGTTCTGGTGACCCAGTTCTGGAGAAACACATCTACCTTCAAATCTATGTTCTACTAACAAGCTGTGAAGTAACCAGAGGAAGACTAGACACTGGGGGTGGAAGGGCGTTCACTGTCTCCACATCTGTGCTTCAACCTCCTCAGTCGATTCACTATCCTCTATTAAAATTATTTTTAGGACTCAGTTCTATAAAATGGCTTTTAACTTCTAACTTTTGTTTGTTTAATTGCTTTATTTGATCATTAAATCGTTTTTTGAATGCATTAGTTTGTTTTATTTTACCTATCGTCTCTTCTGCATGAACGTGTAAACATTTATAATTGCACTGTATGCATTTTCTGTTCTTCTGTCTGAGACCCACTGTAAACGTGTTTATGGAGAGTGCAGTATAAATAAAGTGGAAAACAGACAATGAATGAATAAGTCGTTTTTAAAATAATCAAGCAGCTAACATTTCTAAATCATTAGCAGATTTCCAAACGAGAATTATTTATTTACAATACTGAATTAATCCGGACAACTAGCTCACGCGCTGCTGGAGCCGGAAAACCGAACGAGCTATTTCAGTTAGCTCCAGCTAGCTAACCGGTTAAGCTAGCGGGCTAAACCTCCTCTAATGGATGCTCTACGAGCTGTTCATCGAGAACACGAACACAAAGATAATTTAAGTCATCTGGTTTCATTGTAACTGTGACATCGAACATGGAAACAGGAGAAATGTTGTTATTCTTTCAGCTCACCCGTATTTGGTCTGTTTAGCCCACAGTCTATGGTTTAGCCACAGATTCTCGTCGCGCTATTGACGTCAGCGCAGGACAACCCGCGGCATGCTGGGAGTTGAAGTTCTTGTCCGGCGCTGCAGCTGGGCCACTCGACAGGACGAACACGTTTGTTGAGCGAAACAAAACCTTTGTGTTCTCCAGCACAACTTACAACCTCTCCACCGTCCTATGATGGTTCCCGAACACGTGTAATCGCTCATGTTTAATACGTGTAGTGTCGCTGTGAATACTAACACATAAACATCCGTGTCTCACAGACACGTGCACAGAAACACAGGTCAGCCATTGGTCTTTATCGCGATCGTTCAGAGAAACCTCCTCTGATTGGCTCGTCCTCCGCCCCTTACACAAGCTGTTTCGTAAATTTTAAATGCTGGAGTTGTGTAAGGAGGATCTCTGCCAAACATCTTTAGAAAACTTCACCCAAAGCTCTGCAGCGAAGACACACCATCTCCAGCTCTACCCACAGACCCAGCTGTCAGGTAAGGAAGATGAGATGAGTAATAACCTCGTGCATGGATTCATTGGTAAAGATCTCATTGCAATGTATGAATGTAAGATCAATTATGCTCGTGCATTATAATTCACAACAAGTGCAGTGCTGAAGATGTCTGCAGTCACAGAGCGATAATAACACATGAGTGATGTGGCTGCAAAAAAGATGTTCTTCACCAAATGGAGGTCATTTCAAATGTGATTGTTGTCAGTAGGTGCTGTCCTTTGAAATAACCTGCTTACAACTATAATTTACTTTGACTTTCCATTAATGGCAACTTCTTTCTCTACATTTCACTATTGCTTACTTTTAACATCTATTTGGATTTTTTCATTTAATTGTGTCTTTCTGTACATTTTGAGTCTTCAATGTGTTCTTTGTGTTTGTGAAATCTTGCTGTGTGTCAGCAGGGAAACATGAGCCAAATGTTATCAGGACAATACTTTTCATATCATTAGTTATCGATAATTGTTATGATGAATGATAAAGACAGATTTTTGCTCCTGAGTGAAGGTTGTGGTTTTGAGCGGAGAATGACAAACAAAATATGATATTGTTTTATCACCAAGACCTTTTTCAACTGCTCTGTTTGAATAATAAAAGACACCGAAAATTGGAAGGACTCATGAAACAGATATAAAATGTTAAATATGTGTAACATGCATGAAGAGAATTGGCTGCAATCATCTAATGTGGAGGCTGAGCCAGCACCTTTAACCCCATGTTCTTCAGATGTGTTTAGCCTTACCGACAATGCTAGTATGCTGTCTATCATATCAGGAACCCTGCCCATCTCTGTGCATCGTTATACACTCATAAATCATCTACATCTTGACTTTAACACATAGCCCACTCCCCTGATCTGTGTCCCATCAGGCTACAGTGACAATGTGGGCATCAGGGCTGCTGCTCCTCCTGTTGGTCGGACTCCAGCATCAGTCTCTCGCTCAGAGCTCCCAGCCCATGCTCCAGGTCGTAACTCAGGCTATGCTTCCTCCGGACAATCACCACAACCCGACACAGCTCAACTATGGGATGGCCGTGACAGACGTGGACGGTGACGGCGACCTGGAAGTGGTGGTGGCAGGGTGAGGGGCTGACCGTGTGGTGTAACAGTACCCATCTATAAGTTTATACCCTGTGGCTGAACATTTGCATGAATATGTACATGCAAATCAAATCTATGTGACTTTTTCCCTCAGGTACAATGGGCCCAACCTGGTGCTGAAGTACGATCGCACTCAGAAGAGGCTGGTAAATATCGCCACTGACAACAGTACCTCTCCATTCTACGCCCTGAGGGACCGAGCAGGTAACGCTATTGGAGTTACTGCCTGCGACGTGGATGGAGACGGACGTGAGGAGATCTACTTCCTGAACACAAACAACGCCTACTCTGGTGAATAGTGCCAATGTCAAGATCCAACCTGAAAACTGCAGATGGCCTCCTGACGTCATTTCTGTTACAATAATTTCTTTCTGTTTTTTATTCCAGGACGGGCAACTTATTCGGACAAGCTCTTCAAGTTTCGCAATGGACGCTTTGAAGATCTTCTGAGTGACGAGCTCAACGTGCGCCGTGGCGTGGCTAACCACATGGCAGGACGTTCTGTGGCCTGTGTGGACAGAAAGGTCAGTGAATCCACTCTGTTGAACTAATCATAAAGTCCCACATTTTCTTCTAAAAAAGCTTCCTCTCACTCCTCTTGCCTGTTGCACTGCAGGGAACAGGTCGTTACTCCATCTACGTGGCCAATTACGCCAGTGGCAACATCGGCCCCCATGCTCTCTTAGAAATGGACGAGGGTGCCAGTGATGTGAGTAAGGGCGTCATCGCTCTGTCGGACGTGGCTGCTGAGGCCGGAGTCAACAAGTTCACAGGTCAGGAAGAGTTCAGGCTGAAGAAGTGACGTGTGTGATGTGGTTTGAGGTGGACTCTCACAGTGTTCTCGATGTGCAGGGGGACGCGGTGTGGTGGTTGGACCGATCCTGAGCGAGGCCAGGTCTGACGTCTTCTGTGACAACGAGAACGGACCAAACTTCTTGTTTAAGAATAAAGGAGATGGGACTTTTGTTGACATGGCCAGACGGGCAGGTGAGCTTGAGGGAAGAGCAAGAATGCTGTAACAGTTGAAATACTGCTACCATGAAATCTGAGCACTGTTGATGTCCTGCAACTCATAGCTTCACATAAAATATTAAACTTTTTACCCTGTTGCATTCAATAGCTACTGAAATTCAACCATGGCGTCAAGTTTTGATGTAAAAAAGGAAATAAACCAAGGCACACTAGCTGTTGAAAAAACAAAAAGCACATATTAGTGTAGCTAATGGATGGGAACATTAGGAAATGTAAAAATGCTGCAACATGTAGGTGCATTTTGTAGGGGCTCTGGTTTATTTCCTTGTTTTGTATCAAGACTTACCACCCATGCGCCAAAAAGCAAATTTTATGAACAGACACGCTCCTTTTTCTGCTTCATTAAATTGCTTGTTTTCTTTAAAGGAATACTTCTACAGATTGGAAATATACACAAGAGATCTTCCTATCTAAATCTCAGCAAGACAAGTTTACCCTTTATTTAAATGTTTTGACTAAACTAGTTGTTGTTTTACGAGAACAGTCATTGATTGGGGAGAATCAGTGTGCTGTTCTGCTGCAGTGTTTTCTTTAATACTACCACTAGATGTCACCAGAGACACTTGATCCTAGTAAGAAATTTGATACAAATACATAGCGTATTATTTTTCCAGTAGAGGCAGCACTAAAACTTAACACTGCTTGCATATCCAAAGGTGTGGAGGACACCTACCAGCATGGCAGAGGAGTAGCACTCGCTGACTTCAATGGTGATGGAAAGACGGACATCGTTTATGGCAACTGGAACGGCCCACACCGACTTTACCTGCAGGGCCCAAACTCTAAATTTCGGGTGAGGACATAGAAGTTACAGAGGAACAAAAAAGATCAGATAAAACTCTGTACAATGGAAAGAATTTGATTAAAAAAATGTTTTAAAATGTGTGTGATCTCTTGCAGAACATAGCTACTGGGGGATTTGCGACCCCCTCTCCTATTCGCACAGTCATCGCTGCTGACTTTGATAACGACAAGGAGCTGGATGTGTTTTTCAACAACATTGCCTACAGAGGAAACGCCCCCAACAGGCTGTTCAGGTAAGATCATAGTAATTATGTGGACCCAAGTTTCGTAGAGAGGCCCCACACAATAAACAATTACTTGACAGGAAATCCTTCAATCACAAGCTGTTGTCATAATCGTATGTTTGTTTGCAGGGTGTCGAGGAGAACTGATGCGGATCCACTGATCGAGGAGCTTAACGTGGGAGATGCTGCAGAGCCACAGGGGAAAGGAACAGGTCAGCTGCCTCTGAGCTCAGAGCTCAGGACAACACAATGTCATCAGTTTTATTAGAAAACTGTAGTGAGCTAAAAGAAGTTTGTGGCATCTCTGCCCCCCCTCTGTCTTTGGGTGAGGTTTGTAGAGACACAGCTATCAGATAAACACCACAGTTTAGTTGTCATGGGGGTCAGAGCAATGAAAGCTCTCTGTTTGCTAATGGACAGGTGGGACCGTGACAGACCTGGATGGGGACGGACAGCTGGACCTGCTGCTGGCACATGGAGAGAGCGCCCAGCAGCCAATATCTGTCTTCAAGGTCACACAGGTGTGTGTACGTGTGTGTGTGCGTGTCTGTGTGTAAGTGTGTGATTTTGTGGGTGTAAGTTATATCAGCCTTACCCATCATCCTTGTTGTCAGGGCTCGTCCAATAACTGGCTGCGGGTCATCCCTCGCACCCAGTTTGGCTCTTTTGCCCGGGGCGCCAAGGTAACAGCCTTCACCAATCAGAGTGGAGCTCACACACGCATCATTGACGGAGGCTCTGGGTACCTGTGTGAGATGGAACCTGTTGCCCATTTTGGTTTAGGTAACAAATGCATTTTATATATTATATAATTTGAGGATAGGGCGCACACAGTACCTAAAGTAAAATACTTATTTTCCTGCCCTTGACTCCCAGGAAACGATGAGGTGAAGGTGCTGCAGGTCTCCTGGCCAGACGGCAGCTCCATCAGCCGAACCCTTCAGCCTGGTGAGATGAACTCAGTGGTGGAAGTGTCTTATCCCGGAGAAGGGGAAATGACTGTGCTTGCCAATGACACACAGGTACGCAGTACGGAGCCAAAGTATGAACTATGAACACGGGTAATGTTCCAGTGTGCCTCTATCAGTGGCACTCTTTTCTTCTCACTGTCAAATTTTATTTTACAATAAAATGTAAGAAAAGTCTAAATTTTACTCCTTTGTCTTTCTGTATTTGGAAATATTTACATTTATTTTTCAGTGTGGTAAAGGCTTCACTGTCAAGAATGGCCACTGTGCAGGTAGGCAAGTTTATATAAAGAGTTGTTTTTAAATAAAGTAACTTAAAGATTATTTTGAAAATACAAATTATTGTTCTGTTTTCAATTTTCTTTTCTTTATTATTAATTTTTTGCAGGTCTTTGAGGAGGCAATACAATTACTTTGGAAACAGAAAAACATACCTGAAAACAGTTTAAAACTGCTTTTCTTTTAGCCAGCCCTCAAAATTTTAAAGCTTGTTGTTGTCTTTACCCTACGTGTAGTTACTTTTTTTATTAGTGATAAGTCTTTGGGGCTTTAAGAGACACTATAAAATAACCTCTCTTTAAATTTACATTAAACCTCCTCTTTATATTCAGTTTTGTTGTCCTGTCTTGTTTTAACAGTTATAACAGCTTTTATGCAAAGCACTGTGTTTCATTGTCTGCATGAATGGTTCTATATAATAAAATCTATTATTATTATTATTATTATTATTATCACAAAGGACATATTATTGAATTCTTTATTTCCTTTGTGAAGACACTTGTCTCTATGGTCTTTTGTCATCATATTTCCGTGTGACTGCCATGTGCTTCGGTGAAACCATACTGTGTTGTCTTAACCTTGTGTCTGCCCTTCCTTCTTTCCCTCCATTTTTCTTTTCCTCATCTGCTCTGTGCCATCACTAATGCAGCGTTGGCTCCATATTTCATTGGCGTCCGCTCAACATCCGACACCACGTTCCAAGCCTGCTGCCTTAAGACAGTTTTACTACAGTGTGTTTTGGTGCTGTCAGCACACCTCAGGAGTCGGTAGTCTTCAGAGTAACAATGTCTGAGAAAAGAATCTGCTTGCCTTCCTGTGAATGCAATGATACTACAGTATATGATGGAATCCTAGTGCCGGGACGTCCTGCAGCCTGGATGTTTCCTGGGTGGACGCTGTCGTCTCTGCACTTTCCAAGTGAAGACTGAAGAAGGGGTCGATTTCAACCCATTACCCAGCTGAAAGTGCTCTGTCATAGCCAGTTAAGCATGCATGCAAACAAAGCTTCCCACAACATCAGATTTGTGAGATTTTCAGATGCTTTAGTGCATGCAATGGGATGTTATGAATATCATGTACTTTGAAATGGTTTGCATTAGGTGAAACGGTTACCAGTTTCACAGTAAACTGTGTTAAAATTTCCAAGGGTTTGTTACCATTTCATGTTTGATTATTGTGGTAATTCAATTGTTTCTGCATCAACCAGATTTAGCGATTCTCCAAGACACAGGCACAGCAAGCAACGTGCATAAATTGTGTGTTGTAAAAATGTGTAAAAGGAGCGGCAGGCAGGCAGGCAGGGGGCTGTCACAGCAGAAGAGTTGCTTGGGTTCGACGTCTGCATTATCGACCTTCTCTTTTTTACTTTCAGCACATTTTATAATACTGATAACAGTGGTAAGATATTATCATGTTAAAACATGTCACACTGTTTCTTCTCAAGTTTGTATTTATACACCTCTATTGTAGTTTTGAGGTTTACAGTGCATATCAAGCACTTAATCACACAACAATCCAGCAGGGATTATTTTGTCCAAGGAAATGTAGGCGCTCAGACTGGGATTGAACCGCTGACACTCTTTTTAACGGACCACCCACTCTACCAGCCACCGCTGGTCTTTGTTACTAGTAACATTAGTGATGTTTGTTGTGCTTTCATTACTGGTTAAAAACATGCTGACTAGTAGAACGATAATATTGGCTGCATTCCATTTAGCATCCCCTGCTACTTGCACGTTCAGTTACTTTGATGACTCATGTTTACGTACAGTCTGACAATAAAGAAAGACGAGCTCTGTGCACCTGTGATGAAAGAGTATTTATCTGACACCAGTCATATTTACCTCGTCGCTGTGTATCAAACAACAAGCGATAAGAAAGACAGTTCTCGAACAATGTCACCAAAATAAAAGACACATTCACATTACTGAGTCACTTTTTTTTTGGCAGTTATTGTTCTTTGGAAGTTTGACGTATTTTTCAAACACTACAGGTAAGATTTCAGGAAGACTTTCTGACCCATCCTTAGTCCACTAAGGATAACATAATGCACACTACGTCTTTGCATAATTTAAATTTAGGAAGAGTTGGTCTCACTCATTGAAACCAAGAGGTTACTACTTGGATTGGTGCATTTGTGTCTAATTACTTTCATGTGCGAGATATGGAAGATCTGCTACATCATGGAAATGGATGAGCTGAGTGACATTCATCTGATACTAGACAGTATGAGTTACAGCAGAGTCGATGGAGGAAGAGCTTCTTTGTGAAAGTGAAACTTGGTGATGCCCTGCTCAAATGCTTGCACATCCTTTTTACATTTGCTACGATCCAGAAACTCAGTCCTAGCTACAGATAACATCTTCAAAAGCCAGTGTATGGTGGTGCAGCGTGGATGGTGATGTAGTCAGGCCAGTTTCCCAGTCGGTGAGGGCGCCGCTGAGGCTGGACTGTGCGGTGCAGCTGTGGTGGCTGAGGTATGAGGTTTTGATGAGGCCTGCGGTCGTCACTCCCGATTCAACACTAACACATCCTCCATTTTCTTCCTTCCGTCCTTTTTATCTCCCACCAGACAAAACAGGAAGGACGTTAATGGTGCGATCACACAAAGTATTAGGATGATTAAGACTGAAGAGTGTTCACTGTGAAAAAAGCTTGGAACTGTTCAAGCACGTGATGTCAGGTCATGAGCTAAAGAGAAAAAAAGCTGGTGAATCCTTTGTGTGAACATAGCTGAGGGATTATACGTGTTAAGTTTTGGGACAGGAGAGGTATCAGTGTCCTGACTTCTCCGGGGGTTGATGATCAGGGGGATGGGTATTAAGAAGGTAGCCAGTCATCGAGCAGTGCTGCCGGACACAGAGCTGCTCCCTGAGCTGGAGCCGCTGGAGCCCCGGTCTTCATAGATGGAAATTTCTATCTGGTGAAAGTAGTTAGGGACCAATAAGGCACTACGGAGTATCAGAAAACATAAGCACTCATACCATTAGCATAAAGATTTCCTCTCTCTTCTCCTCAGGAGAGATGCAAACACAAGCATGGGTTTATTACAACATAAAAGGTTTTTCTTCATCCTGCACATCCTTTGAAAATATATCGATTTAAAGATTTAAAGCACTCGTACTATTGTGTTCATGGACCAAAATACACTGAGTAAGGATACAACACGCATTCCCCTCTCTATGGGATCTGTGATGAGCAGACCTCTGGGAGCGTAGATCTTCTCGTTCTGCTCCTGGATGTACTTGGCGATCTTCTTCAACACCTGACACACAGACAGAAGAAGAAGAAAAACCCACAGCACGTTCACCGCTGAACTTGAACATGAAAATCCAGCTGCCTCTGAGAGAACCAGTCTGACCTTCTCGTAACGTGTCTCCATGCAGAGGAAGATGAGATACGCAGTAGCGCAGGCCAGACACCCCTCCAGGTACGACTGTCCTCCGATCTTCTCCGCCTCTGCATAGTAGTTATTCAGAGTCTTCACAGTGTCCTCAAACAGCGTCCGCTCGATCTGGAGACGCACGCAGTGAGTTAGGTGAAATGTGGAGAGGAAGTCTGTGTTTTATCATTAATGACAGTCTTAGCAACTGTAGCTGTGAATTTGGACTTAATTTATAGATCTTTTTTGATCAATAAAATATCTCAAAATAGTCATGGAAATAGCCTAATGAAAGTTTCAGCTTACTAAAAAACCTTGCTATTGAGAAGTAACTATTACTACTAGTATTCTCATAATGTAATGACTGTATTCTCATAACGTTATGACCTTGTACACAAAATCTTTTTTTTCTTTCCTTCAAATGGCCAGAATACTCCATCGTCCACCACAAGCTGAGATTTTGTTAAAGAATGATTCTTGTTTTTTTTTTTTTTTTTCTTACACATGGGACTTTGGCTCATCTTTGTCTCCTTCCGTAGAGATCCTGTAGGCCTGTTGTGTTGTACTATATTTTTTTGCCCCTGTCATCTGTGGGTATTCTGTTTGATTGTTGCATTTATGATGGTTTATATGCGTTTCTTAATATAAATATTTATAATACATTAATACTTGATTTAAATATATATATGCCTTTGATATAAAGACCCACGTGTAAATATACACTACATTCAAATGCATGTATGTTGAGCTACTTGGGATAAAACAACAACACAAGCACAGGAGCATGTTTAACAGAAGACGTCTCCTCACCCTGCTCTCCAGCTCTGATGGGAACTTGGTCTGAAACTTGCAGGTGGTTCCTTCGCTGTAGTCTCTCTGGATGAAGACTTTGTTGGCCAGTGACGCACTGTGCCTCAGCTCCTGCAGGTTGTGGAACTGAGGACACACAAATGTAAACAGTAAGGGGTCAAACTAGTATCTCTGTAATGAGTCCCCAGAGAGACTCAGGGCGACACCCCTGTGTGCACCTGTTCACTGTCAATGTGTACAAACAGAGGCTGATATATCCGAGCAGGATGATAGAGGAGATGTGATCAATCTCCCTGTGGCTCAGTGTCTGCATTCATTTCTGCCTTGTTGTGTGTTGGAGCAGAGCCCAGCACTGGACACACTATCTTCTAGACACACACACACTCTCTTGTTTCTCCCTGCTCGAACAGAGAAGCACAGCTCACAGGAGACCGGTCAAAATCTCACAACAGATCGATGATGAGGAACAAGATGAGGCAGACTGATACTGACTTACACTTGTATTATTACTATTGTTATTATATTATTATTGTACATCTCTTGTAAATCCAGCATTTACTGCAGCACAGAAGGAGAGCAGTGAGTGGCTTCTGTCCATGGTGCTGAACGCTGTTCCTCCCTGTGTGTGGTGTGTGTGTGTGTGTGTGTGTGTGTGTGTGTGTGTGTGTGTGTGTGTGTGTGTTCAACACAGAGGATTAACGGGGCGTCTCAGCAAACAAAAAAACCCCAGATCTCACCAAACACATTTTGGTCTTAACGTCACTGCTCCTGACCCCTCACTGTGATGTTGAAGGTTTATTCTCTGTACAACATTTAAACATCTTCTCTGTAAAACAAGCTACAGGAGGAAAAACCGACCGATCCCGGGCCGACGCGCTGGATAATGTAGGACACGGACTGAAGTGAGCTGAATCACAGTGTCACCTCCTCTCTCCCTTCACATGCACCCGCACCCGTGCTGTTTTATTATAAGCAGCATCATGACGGCGATGTTCCTGCTGGTGGTGGGAACACGGGGGGAGATTAAAGCCTTGATATCAGCCAGACTTACCTCTGTCGCCATGTTGCCATCCGCGGCCGTGGGGACGAGTCCCTGCGTGCGCTCGAATCGTTCCAGTGGTCAGGAGGAGAGGAGGAGGGGAGAGGGGCGGAGCTAACCCAAGAGCAGGTTTAAGTCCAGTGCAGTGCCTGTTCTAAATGTTTGGGTTGTTCTCTTGTGCTGTGTTAATGCCCCGGAACTACTTCAGAATTATTCCTTGTCATTAGTGAGTCCTCCTCAAACAGCAGCAGAGAGGACAGTCAAACCACAGGCAGCAGTACAGCAATAAATAAGTAAATATGCAAAATAAACACAAGGAAAACCAAAAATATAGATTGCAAAGAACACAGAGAGTGTGAACTGAATATTTGTATACATTGTGAGCAGAATTGCAAATTGCAAATTAGACATTGAATTGAGCATTGCAAAGTTAGATTCATTTAAACCTGAGTGAGTTTATAGTGGATCCCCAGAATCCATGCGTGTGGTCGACTGGGAGCAGAGCTGTTTGCACAGTCTAACAGCTGCAGGAAGGAACGACCTCTACTTCAGACACCTCAGGTGGGTCAGTCTGACAGTGAAGGAGCTGCAGTGCCAAGATGGTGTCCTGCAGGGGCTGGGACTGCTTGTCCAAAGTAAGTGACATCTTAGGTATCATTCTCCTCTGTCCTACCTCTTCTACTGGGTCAAGAGGTGTCCCAGGACAGAGTGGTTCAATTCATTATTAAGTCATGTTACTATAGCTTCTTTACTTTCACGTGACTGTGAACTTTTATTTATATTTAATACATTTAATTGGCCTTTCTTGTATATCCATCATTTAGTTTGAATCCTAACTCACATACAACAATAGAGTGTATATCTCAGCCAAGGCCCAACAGTTCCCTTTCGTAACCACATTTAAATACACAAGATTGATATTTTTATTTGGATCCGCACCAAATTGCACACACTCCTAGATATCAACAAACGACCATGGAGGAAAACTTGACCTCCTTGGCAGAGGAAAATATGTTACTTTGAAATCCTTCTATTGTGATTTATGTGGATTTCTTAGTTTGAAATTTCTAGAGGGTAAATTCCAATTGGGCAGATACTGTCAGTATCTGAGTGTCCAATATGTATTCTTTTTTTTAAACTAAAAATTCAAGTCATGTCAAAACATATGAACTTTGAACATTTACATTTCCTAAGATAAACCTTGACACTTTTTATCAAAAAAGTTTTTTTCTCTTACTCAGTTGCTTTCAAATGTAAGACTCAAAAAGAAAACACTTACCACTGGGACTTTAAGTTAATGAAATCATCTCAGAGTTTATTTTAATAGTGGCGTGTTTTAACAATAAAATATGGGCCAATATTTACAGAATTCATCATTAGGTCAAATAATAACTTTCCATATCTGGAGTTATAATTTAAATATATTAGATATAGAAGAACAATTTACAGTAACCGTTTATATATGATTACAATAAAAGCAAAGCAAACAATTACAATCATCCTTGTCTGATCATCATTAAAACAACTTTTCCATCAAAGACCAAGCATTTGGGCTACAATGCCCCCACATTGATTCTTTTAAGTCCTGCTTGCAAGAGTGTGAGGCTCTGATGATGGTTTCAGTTGGTTTCTCAGTCTGTTCAGATGAATTGAATCCAGTTGGATTGACGGTTGATACAGATTGATATGGTTAAAAGGTGAAGCTGGAGCTGCAGGGATAGTTTTCTGTGTTGTCTCTATGCTCCACAACAAAGCCAGTTTGACATGTCCACACAGGAATTAACAACAATCAGGAAGAAGAATGAAGTATACCGTAATTCATTAGCATGGTTCATCTCTGGACTTGACACACACAGGAGCAGTATATAGTGGTGTGGGTTGCAGCAGGAGCAGATGCAATTATTAAAACATGAAGTCAACCAAAATCACTGGCCTGGAATAGTTGGATAAACCCAGAAATAATCACAAAGAGATGCTGACCAGCTACAGGTCAAAGTGGACTGAAGGATAACAAACGAGGAAAACGGTTTTAAATGGCCGGCATGTGCACGCCGCAGCGAGCGAAGCCGAATGCAGAGCTTCTTATTTGTTCATCCAAATAAACAGAATTCAGTTTTGTGCAGTGCCTCACTCACAACATCATATTCATCACCAATCTAAAAAATATGCCATGGTTATCCAGTAAACCTTAGTCTTGTTTGTTCTCTCTTACAGTTGAAGAGCCAACACCGGGATAAAGATATCAACATTCAAGTGGATTCAACTTTGTGGCAAGACAAGGTATGTAAAAACAAAACCACCGACATCCAGTAAAACTCCTACTATCACCCGATGCCACCCGGCACAATCTGGGCCTACACCTTGTTTTATACTTCCCTCGGCCTAACGAAAGGAAAACCATGGTCCTTGATTTTCGTTTATACTATTACCTCCTGTTTTAACTCTCATTGATTCATAAGGTCCAGTTCTTCATAGAGAGTTAAAAAAACTAAATATGTTACATGTTACAGTAGAAGTCCCATAATGATAAGTAGCTGAGGAGAGATTTGACTGGAAAGGGCAGGACCAACATAGGAGAAATCTTGACTGACATTAAGTGCCTTAACATGAACCAAGGTGTGCCTGTGCGTGTGCCTGTGCGTGTGTGTGTGTGTGTGTGTGTGTGTGTGTGTGTGTGTGTGTGTGTGTGTGTGTGTGTGAGGGCTACAGTAACTTTCTGAAGGACCTTCCACTGGCCACCGGGAGATAGACTGACGCCATGTCACTGTAACTTGATGAGAGAGGAATTACAAGGAGCACAGACAAACACTGTCTCTCTCTGTGCCTCTGGAGCTGGAGAAGAAACAGTAAGACAAGAAAATCATCAGTCAGAACACAGATGAGCCAATCTGAATCAGTGTAAGAATAAAATGTTGTAGAATGATCCATTATCTTCTGTTTTTTCACTCCTTACCCGTTGCCCCCATGCAAGCTCTCAGCACTTTAAAAGAGCAGCATCGGGAACAGAAGCTGTTGCCACAGTTACTGCAGTTCCTCTGCAACAAGAGACAAAAACATGTTGAAGAAAAGACAAAATCAATCATGATCATGTGATATCTAAATATATCCCTGATTCTTGTCACAAGTTTTCAGACTGACCCTTTTCTTCAGCACTGAGAAGACGGCGTTGCAACTCGAACAGTTGCCTAAGGAGACAAAGAAAAACAAATAGAAAAAGTATGATGAAATCTAGTTCATAGTGCTAGTACTGCCATAGAAGCCAGTAGCCAGTCAGATTTAACTTAATGTACTCTCAGGTTCGGCTTTTTAACGTTATTGCAATTAAAAGACCACTTGATGATACCAAGGTACTTCAAAAGTGGCAACAAGTATAATGAAACCAGTGGATGAGTGGGAGCAGACTGACCTGTGCTGGTGGTGGGGTAGCGTTTACGCAACTTCTCTGTCAGTTTGGACACTTTGCTGCGTATTGGTTCGTTGCGGCTCAAGAGGCCATTTTCAGAGATGGTGTCGAACTCTGGGGCCCCGAGAGGCCCTTCGTCATCCTCCTGAGCGAGAGGAAGGAGGTAGGAGAGGGGGAAGGAAAAGGGGGAGTTATGTACTGTATGTGCGACAGTCATCACAGTTGGTCTTTAAGAGTGTGGAAACCTGGCCAGGAAACAGAGCCAGCAGTACGGCAAAACTGGCAGAAATCGTGAGGATTTCAGCAAGTTTGACAAAAAGATGTTTGGTAAATAAATCAAGTAGATCGATGACAAGACATAGGTGGAAAATACATGCATATTTACAGAAAGAAATCCTGAGACTACGAATATATAATGAGTGCTGATTATATGTCTACACCATACAGTCTATGGGCTATGGTCTCAGGCATGTCTCATGCAGGCAGTGTGACTGCTCTAACCTGATAACATGTGCAAGGAAATGAAAAGACATTCCACAATGCACACAGACTGTTCCAAATCCATCCACCTCCTGATAAACAGTAGATATTCAAAAAAGATGAAGGCAACGAGTCAGAAAATGTAAAATATATAAATCCTCACCAACTCTTCAAGGTACCACATGTTGTGATTAGTCAAAGAATATGCTTCTATGCACTGAATTGAGTTCAAAGAGTCCTTCGCATACACTTCACATCAAGTTATAACCTCCACCAAGGAGGTTATGTTTTTCGCCCCTGCCAGTTTGTTCATTGGTTGGTTGGTTTGTTTGCTGTTTTTTTGTCAGCTGGATAACACGAAAACTAGTGAATGGATTTTCACGAAACTTGGGAAAAGATGGGACATGAGCTGAGAAAGATCCACAAAATGTTGTTGCGGATCCAGGAATTGTTATTTTTGACTTTCTTTAAACGAGAAAGGGTGTTTTGACATTTTCACGTTTCCCAGGAAGTAAGTCATAGATCTTGATGAAAAAGATCTGGCATGTTAAGGGACCTGATATCTATTGGTGTGTGAAATTTGGTGCAACTTGATTGAATTTAAGGGACTGTTGGGCCTTGGTGGAGGTATGAGCTCTACTAAGGGACATTCTAGTTTAAACGGGTTTGAGGAAGGAAAGTTGATTTCACTAATGTCATGAATAATGCCAGTCATGCAGACTAGAAATGAAGGAGCCTGTATGATGGGATTATTGGAGACAGATGACAACAATGGGCAAACACATGAAGGCAAGGAGAGATGGATGGATGGAGGCACTAGGGTAATCCACTTACCACTAAGACCAAAGGGGTTTCCTTATCACGATGCAGAACAACACACGAGAACAATGTTACTCACAAACACCGATATTCAGTGTGAGTATAAAAGGAACAAACTCAACCCTTCACAGAGTAAAGCAAGAACTAAACCACCTCAAACAAGTGGACACATGAAGTTCATGTGGCGAGTAGTTCTACAGGTTACTGAGTGGAGGTGCACTGGCCTCTTCTAAACACTCACCTGCAAGGAAATCGAATGTTCCTGATTTCAGAAGCAGGCAGAGAAAAAAACAGGAGGTATAATTTTTTTGTGATGCATGCTCCGATGACGTTTCAAATTTGTACATAGGAGAAAGATACAAAATCCAGTTATGCTTTCTCTTATAAATACTGGGAAATACAGACTACAGGTGTTTAGCTGACGGGACACATTTTCAGGAAGAGTTGAAATATGCTTTTTTTGAGAATTAGAGGAAAAGATCAACACCATGCTCATGTCTGTTAAATGTCAAAATAAATGTCAAAGCAAAGACACATATCACCAAAAACGTAACACTTGTTTACTTGACGTGTATTTTACCATTAATCCAACATTTTATTTGAATGATCATAGATTAAACAAAAAATATCAGTTGTCCTGGTGTCTGGAAATCCCACAACAGATGTGTTATTCTTAGGAATTAGGCCACCAGTAAACGAGTGATTGTAATATGGACATATTGGTTTAGATTATTTACCTCAATGGCATCTTTAAATTCATCATCAGGTTCTGCTTCCTCAGCCTCCTCTACACTGCCAGGAGACAGATCCTGTCATTGCACACACACACACACACATAAATATTCAGCTACATTCACTACAAACAGTCCCAGGATTAGCACTTTGGACATTGATCAGGATATGACTGAGCATCTGAGCTGTTCTGGTAAACAGGACGATGTCATCAATACAGAAAATTGTATTCATTTTCCTATTGCTGGAACGTGAAATCACGACATAAACAAGTGGCTCGATGGATGGAGAAAATCCATGCATGGATTTGTGTCACATTACTGGATGAATACATTAAGAGCATGGGATCAACTGGATAAGAAGATTACAGTCATGGTTGGGTTTGATGTAAATCACAACCACTGAGTAAATCAGTATTTAACCCTTCGTACACTTTTCTCCTTCCTCTCACCTCCAGACTCGTTGGTGTGGGGGTCCTGTCCAGTAGACTTCTTTGTTCCTGTTCCTCACACAAACCCTCTGAGGCCTTAGTCTGGCCCATGTGGAAGAACTTTCTGAGGTCCAACAAAACTGAAAGCAAGGGAGAAGCAACCATTTACTTTAGCTTTTCATTCTTAAATAATTCTGCTTTTACACATGCACCGTAACCCTAAACATTTCCAGAAAATACCCAGAGGAAGGGTATTTAGTATTTTAGTTGGATTGGACATTAAACTGACTTTACCCTGCCAGCTCTTTAGTGCAAAGTCTGCGTAACGTCTGATTGAGCTGAATAGGTAATTCATAGCAAGCAAGTGAGTTGAAGGTTGTGTCTACCCATCCCCTTGCATGATCTACCCAGGCGCCGCCCTCACCTAACCCAAATGGTACACTTCCCACCGCATGTGTGAAATTCCAGGTAATGTCTACATCTGATTCTCTGGACACTGTCAGGAGATCATATGTGAAAATGGCAACAGTTAGTGCTTCTTTCAGACAGGATCCACTGACCTCTGAAGAAGTCTCTGTTGCACAGGAAGATGGCGCTGTTGAGCCCAGCCAGCACCCAGCCCACAGGAACAAGGTAGAGCAGACAAACCACTATTATCATCCCTCCATAGAACCTGAAGTTAGATGATACAAATGTCAGGTCACAGTCAAACCATGTGAGTGACTGATCAGCCATTACATTTAATGCTATAATGATGTAACAACTGACCTGGGTCTGAAATAAGAGTATTTTATAGCTGTTTACAATGATGTAAACAGAAATAAGCTTATATACCCATATAAAAGAACATAGCCCAGTTAAGTAACATTAGGTTGCAATTATTATTAATACACTGATTATGCCTACACCAAATGTTATAAATTGCAAATTTATTTCCATTTCTTTCCAGTATTACCTGGTTCGAACTAACACACTACATTTAGCAAATGAATCAACACAGAAACAAAGAATGGTCTATTTGTTAATAGCCGTCACTTAACTAATCAGTGATCAACTGACTCAACATACAGGAGACACTGTCCATTTGTGTAAATGTAAAATGAACAGGATTTATATAGTGCTTTTTCTAATCTTATCAAGCAAAGTGCTTTACAGTTGAGTCGCACTGACCCATTCACACAGCACTACTGTATGCAGCTCTTTTTCTATTACACACCAATTCAGCCAGCAATTTGGGCTTCAAGGAAACTTTGGTGGTCAAACCACCGACCTTCTCCTCCTGAGTTTGTGTGTGTCTGTGTGTGTGTGTTTATGCAGATGCAGACCTTGATGACTTGGTGTGATTATCCCAGTGCAGGACCTTGTCAATAGCTTCTGCTGACTGACACGCAGAGGACAACATGTCATCTAGATGCTTCAACCTGGTTAAGCCAGAAAACACCCAACACACAAACATTACAAAGGCCAAAGATACACTAACCCAAACATGAACAAATACACATGTCATGAATGCAGTTTGTCCAAAGGAGATAACTAAATCATGTTTGCATTATCAGTTAGTCTATTTATTTAAATCAAAGATGAATTATTTCTTTATGTTTAAAACATTACAACCTTACAAAATTAATTCTGACTGTGATGGATGTGAGGAACTCATTTACTGGGTAATACAAGACACAAAATGACGTATTTTAAAGAAATATTAATCAGTAAATTGAGAAAATCATCAGCAGGTGAATCAATAATGATTGACCCTATCCCCTGCAGAATCTGTCTTACAGGTCTTTTACTTCCAGCATGGCCTCCTGTTTGGTGAGATGCACTGTCTGCAGGTCTCTGCGGTGCACAGTGTGATAGTGCCTCCTCTGGAGCTCAGCTTCAGAGGCTCTGCCCCCACACCTGTCCTGCCGATAACCCAGGGCAGCAGGCGCCAACACCAGCGCCACACCCACTGAGAACCAGCCCACTGACACCAGACAGCAGACACAACAATATGTTATTATAGTGTGTTTAAGGCACCACACAAATGTTGGGTCAATAATGCCTTATCTTACCTTCATTAACAGTGCAGAAGAAGACATTAAGAAATAAACACACCAGCAGTGAGCACAGCGGCATCTTCCATCTGAGAGATTTAAAAAAACAAAAACAAACATGGCTACTTCATTATACAAGCAATTAAATCGCATGATGCTCAAACAGGCTGCAGACAAACACATACGCACCCGAGCAGGAAGCGGCTCAGCTCCATTGCTTCTGCAAGTGGTTCTAAAAACAGAGCGATTCTCTTATAGGAAACCACCATGTTGTGGAGGTCAAAGTGTGGTGTACACCGAGGGCTCCCCAACTCAGAGGCGTCTGGAGACCCGGGGGTCTCTTTGGATAGTGTGTGAACCAGCTCCCCTCGTTCGCCTGTACCCTGTGAAGGGTCCTGGGATGCTCCAGTACTGTGCATTGTCATTCTGTGAAGAGTTAAACACAAGAAAGAGTGGTGTCTTGTGAATTGAAAGTGAAAGGTTGATACTCTGCAGTACATTTTGTTCTGTTACAGAGAGACCAGACAGGAAGAGATGATCAATACAAATCAATACTGTCTGTGCACAAGGTGGGGAACAGTCAAATTAAACTATTCATCGTGACACAGCCACATCTCAATAGAGCCGCTGCGGTGGCCTGTGAGGTGCTGTCAGGAACACTGAAGTGAACCTGACCAGCTGACACCAGATCTGTGGATCAAGAGATCTAACTTCAGCCCAGCTAACATCAGCTGCCCGAAGGAGACAACTTACCCTGAGCTGAGAGTCCAACCGCATCCAGCTCGTGAGGCTGCAGCCTGAAGGAGCTCAGGCGAAACTAGCGAGTCCCACCGACAACAGCATCAGCCCGGAGGAAGGAAGAGCCTGACCCGGTCAACATGACAGCAGCACGGCCTCCGGCATGAGCACCAACCGGTCAAAGCGAGGCGGTTCACGGCAATGACGGGTTGTCTTCGGAGGAACTATTATTATTATTCCGGTATTTTTGTGAGCGCACGACTTCTTATCGCTGTTAGCTTTGTTATTAGCTCCGTGTTGTTCCGCGAACGTCCGCTTCCGCGTATCATCCAGGCCGATGCGTTGATCGCAGAGTAGACGATGCAAACGGGCGAATGAGTCTAAGGTAGTCGATCACAGAGCAGGATGATCTTCACCAACATGTGATCAATATCAGATCAATATCATCATGATCAATAATTCTGTAGCTGTGCAGTTCACAGTTGGTATACCGTCACTAAATGACTGGATGCATGTGTCGCTTCCTGAAGAAGAGGCTTTTCATGTGATCGCAGGTCATCAGCAGTATAAAAGTACTTATTTTAATATGTGTTGTCAGAACATATTCTTCTATAGGATTGATGCCGTTGAAGCCCATGAAAACATGAGGGGGATAAGATCATCATCATCAATCATTTCACAGCATCACTGTTCAGGTTATTTGATCATATTATAGTTTTACACAATTACTTTATTTTGTTCTTACACATTCTATTTTTTTAATCTAATAATTAGAAACATGATACATGGGATGTTTTCTTATATTTCACTAAAGATATAACCCTGCTGCATCTGCAATTTTTACACTGTTTTAGATGCTCTGTTGAAATACAGTAAAAATTAGATATTTCTAATAACGTTTCTTTCATTTGATTCTTGCCTGCTGGTGTTTATGTCAATGAACTTTCTTTGACAAATGAGACCGACAGTAAAGATTTAGACTTGACACTTGAGGACAGTGAATATGGTTTAGTTTTTATTCTGCATTAGTTAATTTTGTACTTTTTGTTCCACTGATCTTTGCCCTTTTTAAATTCATATTTACAAAGATCAGAACAGAGGGGACAGTTTTTATAGGTGGCTCAAGACCGATTATTGAAAAAGAAGCCTCATACATGCGCATTGGAGATAGATACTTAGATAGATATAATGCATTACATAAATATGTACCTTAGATATTTAGTTTTGCACTTTTAAATCAACAGAGCCTTTGGCCTCTGTATAAGATCTGTGTGAACTGTTTTGAAAAATGTGAGAACCCCAATAAAAAAGTGTGATCAATTGGATCCAGTTTCATCAATTGTGATTTACTATTTAGAAAAACGGAAAGGTTGAGAATCATACATGCAGATCACTTGATAGAAGATTTGAATATTTCATCCTATGTAGGACATTTTTCATTTTTTCAGTGTCTCTTTGGCTTGGTGTCCATCTCTGGTTTCCTCAGTGCAGATACATTCTGAAATTCTGCAGGAATCCTCACACTCATCATCAGAAAGGAATATTTCATGCCAACAGTTTTTTTCAGCTCCATATCATCTGCAGACCACTGATGCTTGGTGGCCTTACTTCCCAGGAGCCCAGTCTTCCTCTGTGTCCCTTCTGCACACGAACAATGGAGCAGCACGCAGTCAACATATCCTCCTCAGGATTCAGGCGAGGGATGGTGCAGCAGACAGATCCAAAAAGTAATATATACATTCCGCTGCTGGGATCAGGTGTTTTTGTCAGGGTTAGGAGGCAGAGTTTATCTCAGCCATGGGTGAAGCTGCAGCTCTGTCAGGGTGGGACGCAGCTTAGGGTC